TTCCATTACATTCCATTACATTCCATTACATTCCATTACATTCCATTACATTCCATTACATTCCATTACATTCCATTACATTCCATTACATTCCATTACATACCATTACATACATTAAATACATTACATACATTACATACATTACATACATTACATACATTACATACATTACACACGGTACATACATTACATACATTACATACATTAAATACATTACATACATTACATACATTACATACATTACATACATTACACACAGTACATACATTACATACATTACCTTACATTACATTACATCACCATACATTGACATACATTAACATACATTAACATACAGTAACATACATTAACATACATTTTCAGACATTAACATACATTAACATACATTAACATACATTCACTTCCATTCCATTCCATTCCATTGCATTGCATTGCATTGCATTGCATTACATTACATTACGTTACATTACATCACATTACATACCATACATACACGCGGAGTTGACCCTTCCGATAGAACGACTGCAAGAATCATTCGCCCAAGAGATTCTGTCGATTGATTTTGTGTATGGAAGTGTTTTTGATATACCACATCATTCAAAAATATAGTCGCAACCTTCTGCGCTGAGATGGTTTCTGTTGTTTTTTCTTCGTATTTGATTGCTCACCACCAAAACTGCAGATGTGGAAATCGTTTCTGGCAAAACTGTAGCAACATGGAACCAGCCATACTCTCTCTTTCGTAGGTATTTTTCTTTTGTGTTTGGCCGTGGTGCCGAACCATAGCCGGAACCATAAGCGAGCGGTGACCAAAAATCGCATTTTAGTGCCATGGCAGAGATCATTCGAAGTCAGGCGAACATCCAGCGATTCCTGGACGGAGAGGACCGGGCGATGCAATCGACGCCTTGTGCTTTCCAGAAGCAGTTCTCCAAATCATCCCAAGAAACCCCAAACTTGTGTAGCTCTTACCCGACAAATTTTGGGTCGTTTTCAATCAAGTACACAAGAAATTCACAATACAGTGGCAAAAAAATCCATTGTTTCCTGAACATTTTCCCTCAAAACAATCCATTGTGCAAAAAAACCTGCGTTCACTCCCTTGGTTGTAGCTGAAATCTTGAATTCTGATCCTGAACACTCCCATGGTTTTTCTGATCAAACAATCAACCAGACTGCATTGGGTTTACCCCGTCTGCCGTAGTAGGTTGGATAAGCGTCTCTGATGCTAAGAATCACAATCTATGAACCATGATGGGGGGTTCAATTTACATCATCCCAAATAGGGATATGCACAATTTCACAAAACCCAATTTGGGATGGTTAAACATGTAAGCGCCACATGTTTATTAGTTACCAATCCCTCACCTCAACCGCGGAGGATGAGCAAGATGTGCATCTCCCCAGATCCGTGAAAATGAGGTGTGAAAATGTATGGCAACATGTATGGATATAGATATAGGCATTTACACAAACATATATGTATATGTATATGTATATGTATATGTATATGTGTATGTGTATGTGTATGTGTATGTGTATGTGTATGTGTATGTGTATGTGTATGTGTATGTATATGTATATGTATATGTATATGTATATATATGTACTTAGTACATGTTGTTCCCATGAAGTAGTTGTAATGATGATTATTGACCACATACAAAACTACAGGTCTTTTTGTGAACCAGATAGCTCAAGTCTGGGCCCATAGTATTGAATCATTTAGTTTGGGCACCTCAATTTTGACACATCCCAATATGAAATTGTTTTTATCCATACGCAAATTAGAAACATATACCAACTGGGATGCTCCGTGGGGCCTAGGACATCAAACATGGCTGGTTGGGAAATTCACGTTTTTCATGGAAATATTAAAACAAAATCATCTTCAAATCAAGGATTTTCCACTGCCAGGTTTGAATTGGTGAAGGCTAGTTTCATAGCTTATTTCCAACCAGCAGCACTAGCTTTAGAGGGTTCAGCCTTTGGGGGCTGTGGGGGATGGAGTTTGATGAGTTTCGGATGGAGTTTGGGATGCCGCCGTTTCTTCCAAGGTGATGGGAGGCCTATAGGCGCTGCCATGGCCATAAGCCTATCTGCTGACTATGTCATTCAGTTAGGCGGGACATGGCGGGACTGTGTAAAGCTGAGCATTTCCATTTCTGCAGAGGGAGGAAACATTTGCAGCTTTGCGACCTTCATTTGTGCACACCAAAAGACCTGATGGCTGCTGCGCATGTAATTTTTTAATGAAGAGGTATTGCCATGAAGTGTTACCAAATGGTATGTGTCAATTAAGATATCTTTACAGTTGTATACAGTTCTTAATGTTTGTTCCGCTTGAAAGGTGACATCCCCCCATCTCACCCACCTTTCTCCTCTGCCCAACCCCGTCCCCTCACAGCATGGAGAGTCTGGCTGAAAATCCACCGAAACCAACACCATTTTTTTTACTCAGCATGAAAAAGAGGGATGACTGTTCAATCGTTACCTATCCACGATCCTGTTTTCAGCGCTTTCCTGCCATCCAAAAATGGCATTTTCTGCCGGTCTTGCGCTCGCCAGTGCACCCCAACAAAATGCAAAACTTGCAACAATTGCTCTTTCTCTAACCGCTGAACACAGTCATGCCCAGCATTTTGGTGTTTCCTGCTTTTACCCCCACCTTCCGCCTCAGGTTTCAAGGCAATGTCTACTTGGCAGTTGACATTTGGCTCAACCTTTTTGACGTTTGCAAAAGTCCACGGTGGGTCGAATTGGAAGCTTGGTATGGGTTGAAACATGTTGAAACTAGATGATCACCCGTTACACTGCCGTCACACTTTCCTACCATCTTTGCGGTTGGGACACCATGGAGAGTCCAAATTTACACCCATGAAATTTGGAGCGGTGAATGGTACACAGTTTAGGTTACCCAAGATGCCATCTAAGCTACTATTCACTAAGAATTGCCCAAATACTGTTTACCATGGTTTGCTCATTTTGATGATAAAGGTGGTTCACTTTTTTGCCATTGTGATGCAGGGGCATTTGATACCCTGCTGATACCCTGCTGAGGAATTCAATGAACTTTTTGAGGGGTCTCTACGTTTCGTCATGACATCAGTTCGTCTCAAAATGCTAGGAACCAACCCCAGAAACGATTTCATTCAATCATGTGTAGTATCGATGTTTCCTAGGTTTGGAACCGTCCCCAACATCTGAACAGCACCGAATCGTGAGCAGAGAATATCATACCGTCCCCAACACCTTATTGGTTGGTGGTTTCAAGTACTTCTTAGTTTCCATGGGATTGTCCCCTTTGACTTTCATATTGGTGCCACAAACAGGAACCAACCAGATATAAAGAAACCAAGTTGTTGGGTCTTGTTTTTCACTATGCAGTTGGGGTTGTTTGGAAGGAAATAGGGCACCCCCCGAAAGATTGCAATGTTTTGATTAAATCTCCATATTTGGACAAAGCACACATATGATATTGTTGCTCATCCTTCTATATTCCCATTGTCATGATCATTCTCACGAATCACAATTGTACCATGTTTTACCCAAACTGACTGTTTTTCGCCAGTGTGAGTTTGTCCGGGATTTTCAGGGACAAATACATGTGCCAAAAAACAGATCCCGGAAAGCTATGAATCAGGTGGGATGCGAAGGATACGTATGCGCTGCGCTGCTGTCATCATTCCCAGTGCAGCTTCTGCTGATGGCTTCCCAGATCTTCGTGCCATAGCTGTATTTGGAAGTGAATGCTAGCTAATGGTGGTAAACAAGTCGATTTCATGTTGAGTTTTCTCAGCCTTGCAGCAGTTATTGCGTGTGTTTGTCATCAGTCATCATGGATCCAAATGACGAGGCTATCTTTTCATGTGCTGCGCCACACCTACGAAACTTCCCCAGACCATAAAACTTCCATCACGTCTTACATTCAACAGCTTATTTGAAGTAATGTGGGGGGTCCAATACTACATTCCCTTTTTGGGCAAAGTACACAGTGCACCGCCTTGTTGGTACAACCGGATTTGGTTGCCCTTTATGCACCCAGGTCCTTCATTATCCGGGAACCAGACAATGTACAGCTTTAGTTTCCGCACATCCCCCGGCCAAGCATGTGTATTTTGAACACCTTCGTGTGTGTATATACCATACACACTGCTCATCTGTGGCCAATACAATACATCTATCTATACATCTATCTATGAATATCATATCTATATTTTCCCATAGCCCCAATATTCCCTAAAATGGGTCCCAAATATGTGTAAATCACCTACTAAACAATGGTTTTGGTGGTGTGTTTAATCTCATATAATCGGGGAGGTGCGTCAGCGAGGTGACACGATCACTCGCGTTTCACGCAATGCGGCGGGAAAAAAAACAGGTTGCGTGCCAGTTGCACCGCGCAAGCTGAACTTCGTCGACGTTCAGCTTGCGCCGCCCGACTGGCACGCAGCCTGCGATTTTTTTTTGTGACTGTCTGTGAAGTCCTGATGACACTCTTGTGTGGAGAAAGAGAAAGCGTGTGCGTTTCCGTGTTGTCAGGGAATGCTGGAGGTGGAAACGCTCACAAATCTTGGTTCAGGATTTGTCGTTTGTTGCCTTTCATGCTAACATTGTCCCATTCCATTTGTGACACTGAATCCAATCTTAAAAGGTTTGCGTCCATCAAGAAACATGTCCTTTTGAGCCGAATTCCTCCTTCAATCTAGCACTGAAAATGAAGGTCAGTATGTGAATGCCACTGTTCGAAATGGGCAACAGGTGATTCCACCTAGTGCCAGCCAATATCATAGCCGTGGCGACACAGTCTTTTCTTGACATGCGTGAAACTGTGAGATCTATTTTGGTTCATGTCCCCAGTCCTGTCACAGTTAGAAGTCAAACTGCAGGTTGTATATTATTTTAAACATTCCCCAAGATTTATTTGAAAACTGGTTCTAGCATGTTTTGCAACCTAATCGTGCAACCACTTGTTTCCTTTCACAGTTCAAGACTTGCATGTTTAGCACTTCCTTCGCCATGGCACAAGATCGGCTGGTGCATGCAAGGCTTCTCCCCAAAGTGTGGCTGTGCAGATGTGAAATTTTGCACACGGCAAATAATTGAGGTTTCTTGTCATTCTTGTTTCAACTGTTTCAAACATGCTCTGAAGAAAAGATTCTTGCAGGTGCAAAGTACTCGGAATTGTTTCCTTGCCGACATGTTTTGTTGGAAACTGTTCAAATATCGCAATTTTGGGATCCTATTTCGATTGTGGAGCTGCTTGGCGGTTTATCATTCTACCTCCCAGACTCCCAGGGGTCCAAATGTGTTTGCGGGGTTGCTGGTCGTCTGCTGAACAAAGCAGCACCTGCCAATGTTGTTTGACACACAAAAACCACGCATTAGAACAGTTTTTTTTTTTTAGTGATTCAAAACAAAACATGGTCCAATGCATCTAGAATGTTGGATCCAAGTGCAAAGTGTCAGCCATGATGGCATTTTGCACCCAATGTTGCTGGTTTACAATGTGTGTATTTCCTCCCTTGCCAATTGAGGCTGGCAAGGCGAAGCGATGGCAAAGCACACTGTGCACACTCAGAAAACTGTCCGAAAACTTTTTTCAGGCAGCATGACATAGGGCCTTGTTGCGGAGTAGATACATTGCTCGTCGACCAGAGGATGCTAGATTGTGAGAGTCTGAAGGGAACACACGCCCAAATTCTAAACGGCATCCAAATCGAATGGTGTAAAAGTATGTAAAAGTGTCTTCCAAATGATTACACTGATGACAGTGAACGCGGCTTCAACGTTTGACAGGCCGATGTGGTGTTGATCAACGCTATCTCTCAGTGCCTTGCACGTTCGAAGTCATGGAGTTGGAACCTTCAACTCTTGCGATGGATGCACGGAGATCTATTGGAACCAGACTTGTTGAGCCTTGGTGGTGCAAATTGTCTGGTGTAGTTCCCTCACCGCGTTTATTATATTTTATTATATGATCTTGTATCCCATGTTAGGATGCTTGATAGTTATATGATTGTCTATCTCCTTATCCCAGGTTAGATAGTGGAAGAAAATCAATGTGAGGGATCCTGGGATGATTTTGTTTGTCCCGGTTGATGGCCCCCTTGGTTTGGTTTGGGAGGCATAATTTTGATTGGTGTCTTCCTTTGCCCTTCCACTGTCTACCACTTGTCTCCTCATGTGTCTGGGCGTTGGCGACACGTGATTTTGACCCTCTGCCTTTTTCCCGACTTGTTTACTGTTGGGGTTCTTACTCTGTTTGACTCCCTTAAATCCTTGGGAGGATTTTCACTCTGAGGGCAGGCTTGTGTGACATTGTGTAACTCCTTCCTGCCTTCAGAGAGAGGATTGTCATTGGTTCCTTGCACTTCTCTCCCACTTGTGTCTCTACCTCCAGCTGCCTTGTGACAAAGGATTTTCCGCAAACCGTTTTGCTACATCGGTTGCATGTATTTTTGGGACAGCATTACTGGCTTGTATCTCTGTGCCAAGTGGCTTCTATCCCAAAGTTGCTTCCATTTGAACCACCAAATTTACTTCTTTAGCATTTCTTCTTTGGGGTTCATGCTGGCATGATCTTCATACATTTTCATGTAACAAAGTTATATCCCTTCAAAGAACTTCAAAGTGTTTTCTTTGGAACATACATGTAGACCTTGTTGCATGCCTGTATGGTTTTGCGGTATGCAGTTTGGTGATGCTCTGTGGTCTGAAGGACTTTGACTTTTGCCACGAACTCTTGCTCCTCAAACTGGAAAGCAGCCATAGGGCTATTCGATCTGGGTGCTGGCAGGGTTCATGTGCAATCGATTGAACCTGACGCTGTTTTGGTGAACTCTGTCCTTTCTTCTCTGATCTGGGGAAATCTTTGGCAAGAAGCTTTTGGTCTCCGCTCAAGGCGAGGGTTTGTGCTCGTTTCGCTGGGAAATCCGGTCAAAATGTGCCCCTTCCCAACTTAACTTTGGCTCATTAAAGAAATGGGTATGGATCAATACCTATTAATACCATGTTTAGGGGGATGAACACACTGCCAAATCAGTTGATACAGAAAATCACCGCCCAAGTATCAGAAAGTATGCACGTTTCATTCGGTCCCCGGCTGCGAGGGCTCCGACGGACGTCTATGGGGCAGCAACCCTGCTGGCTGGGGCGTCCCTGTTGTGGACTGAAGCATTGGACTACTTCGAGTTGCAGAAGGCGGGAACGATGCGATTGTTTGGTGGCATTGTGCAGCATCTCCAAAATTCCAATCTACAACATTTTGTGAGCCATGACGGGGAGATTGGTTCACTCGAAAGGTTAGCTAATTTTCTGTTTGCAAGACTGGGTTGCCATCGTTTCTTGATTTTTTTGCTAGCCGCAGCCCCTTACATGGCTTGATATGGGAGAAGTGCTCAATAGACCTGCCAGGAAGAGGGGCTACAACTGAATCTGGTGTCGATGAATTCGCTGTTGAAGGCATTGACCTCTTCTTGGCCGCAGGTAGGTTGCCTTGGTTGGGGAAACCTGCAGCCAACAGACATGACGTGGTAAGCCTATATGCAAAACTAACCATGGGTTCGGCATGAAAGAGCGACGCAATTTGGATCAATTTGGATGGTTTTGGGTCCATTTCGAGACATTTCATTTTATCATAGATCATAGCCACTTGGCCACTGCTCAAAACAGTTGTGTCATGATGTCTCTTCCAGGCCGCGATGCTCCTCCGCACAGTGGGCGGTCAAGCCGATGCGATTTCATTCAACACTGCGGCAGCCAGCACTGATGGACACTGGAGGAGGTGGGGAACACAGCTCACATCAGCGAACCAATCGGCACTCAGTAATCCTTTTTTCACCCATTAAAAGAGGTGCAATGTGGGGCCCCCTAATAAACCCCATCTAACTATGGTTATAACTACCATAAACCCTAGTTATTGTGGTTATAAACCAACTTTGCTATCTTGGGGGCCCCACATTGTGGTATAACTACTAATTCAATGTATATAGTGGCTAATACGTAGTGGATTATAGTTGTTAAACATGCTTAAAAAATGTTAAAAATTGTTAATTCCCCATTTCTAATATTAAACACCCCCAAGAAACCATGGTGGATGTAGGAGATAAAACCAGATATTTGGGACCATAAATTGGGATGTTGAATATTGGGGGGATGGGATTAAGATGGATTAAGAATGAAGGTAGCGCTTGTACAGCCTCAAGGATGATGGCTTCGTTGGTGTATCCCCCAATCATATTTCATTCTTTGGGGGTCACATTTCACCAGCAACGCATTGCCAACGTTTGTCTGACTGTCTCTGTATCTATTTGTTTGCCTGTGTGTTTGGCTAGCTGCTGTCTCTCTGTCTCTGCCTGTCTCTCTTCCTTATCCTTATATCTTCTACTCTGCTCAACAAATCTCTAATATGTCTAGTCTATCTGATCTGGTCTATCAATCCTTTCAAATCTAGTCTACTCCATCTACATGCAATCACCTGGAGCCTATTCTCCGCTGTTTTTGCTGCTTTTTCCTCATTTGTGCATCTAGTCTAAGATGTCTCTTATCTACTTTCAAAGTGGGACCAAGAATCTAATTACCTCGTGAGTCATTTTGTGCCATTTAGTTTATCTATCTGTCTGCCTGTCTGACTATCTGATCTAAGTATCTATTCAATTCTATTCATCTATCCATCTAGCGACTCTGTCTGAGTCCACGAGCCCATCTTTCCAGCACCCTGGTGTTTATTTAACCATCCGTTTGTCGTCCATTTCACCCTAGTCACTTTAGTCCATCCTTGCTACCGGGTTCCGGTATGTTCGGCCATTCAATTCACTTCAAGTTAAGTCTTCTTGCGAAACTGCATCCATTCCACTGTGCTATTCTGCAATTACCTACCATGGTAATTTAGCTACTACTATTACTACTATTACTACTACTTACTACTACTTACTACTACTGCTACTACTACTGCTACTACTACTACTACTACTACTCCTGCTACTACTAGTACTAGTACTAGTACTAGTACTAGTACTAGTACTAGTACTACTACTACTACTACTACTACTACTACTACTCCTGCTACTACTAGTACTAGTACTAGTACTAGTACTAGTACTAGTACTAGTACTAGTACTAGTACTAGTACTAGTACTACTACTAGTACTAGTACTAGTACTACTACTACTACCACTACCACTACTACCACTACTACCACTACTACCACTACTACCACTACTACCACTACTACCACTACTACCACTACTACGACTACTACGACTACTAACTACTACTAACTACTACTAACTACTACTAACTACTACTAACTACTACTAACTACTACTAACTACTACTAACTACTACTAACTACTACTAACTACTACTAACTACTACTAACTACTACTAACTACTACTTACTACTACTTACTACTACTTACTACTACTTACTACTACTTACTACTACTTACTACTACTTACTCTACTTACTACTACTTACTACTACTTACTACTACTTACTACTACTGACTACTACTGACTGCTACTGACTGCTACTTACTGCTACTTACTGCTACTTACTGCTACTACTGCTACTTACTACTTACTGCTACTACTGCTACTTACTACTTACTGCTACTTACTGCTACTTACTCCTACTTACTACTACTTACTACTACTTACTACTACTTACTACTACTTACTACTACTTACTACTACTTACTACTACTTACTACTACTTACTACTTACTACTTACTACTACTTACTACTACTTACTACTACTTACTACTACTTACTACTACTTACTACTACTTACTACTACTTACTACTACTTACTACTTACTACTACTTACTACTACTTACTACTACTTACTACTACTTACTACTACTACTACTACTTACTACTACTTACTACTACTACTTACTACTACTACTACTACTACTTACTACTACTACTACTTACTACTCTTACTACTTACTACTTACTACTTACTACTTACTACTTACTACTTACTACTACTACTACCTACTACCTACTACCTACTACTACCTACCTACTACCTACTACCTACTACTCCTACTACCTACTACCTACCACTACCTACCATACTCACCCTACTACTACTACTACTACTACCTACTACTACCTACTACTACTACTACTACTACTACCTACTACTACTACTACTCCTACTACTACCTACTACCTACTACCTACTACCTACTACCTACTACCTACTACCTACTACCTACTACCTACTACCTACTACCTACTACTACCTACTACCTACTACCTATACTACCTACTACCTACTACCTACTACTACTCTACCTACTACCTACTACCTACTACCTACTACCTACTACCTACTACCTACTACCTACTACCTACTACCTACTACCTACTACCTACTACCTACTACCTACTACCTACTACCTACTACCTACTACCTACTACCTACTACCTACTACCTACTACCTACTACCTACTACCACTACTACTACTACTACTACTACTACTACTATGTATTTGGCTGATCTGAGCAATGCACACCACAAGTATCACACTGTAATTGTTTTTTTGGTGCTTCTATCCGCTTGTGAACCATAGATGATCTCCTCCCTTCAAGGTTCGCAGGTGTTTTCAAGGAAATTCCTCCAGTCAGGAGTCTGGCAGAGTTGATTATTTCGAGCCAGCTGACAGTTTTCGAAAAATGCCACAAAAATCAGCTTGTGGCTCGACATTTGGCCGGCAATCCTTCTGCTCATGCAAATGTCCTACATGATTTTGTAATGCTTTGGTTTATTGTGGTTTGCTTTTTGACAGAGCCATTTCTTGTGACTTCAAAAGCCAGAGCAACATCAATAAAGCCTTTCCCTGCAACAAAAGCAGAAACATCCACACATACAGACTATCCATCAATGCCTCAAAATGTGGCAATAAAGTATGCAGATATTTTCCAATTTGTCAAACAGAGAACCCGAATCATTGTTAATTATTTCACTTCGGTGTCATGTATTGAAAACAAGAAGCATGACCATTCTACAGACACTGGTAGGCAGAAATGCTAGTAGGCAGAACACAGATCCTACCTATCATACCATTCCAAAAGAATGGTTTGTAGGTTGAAAACGTGTTGCTACTTTAAAGCAACGCTCATGTCTTTTCGGCGGGTTCTTGAGCACCTCGGGTGAAACTTTGTACCGAGAACAAAGGCAACCACGTGCAAAGCGCTAGGTCATGCTAAGTAGCAATTGTTTTATTTACATTCATTTACCATTCCAAGTGGGGTTTCTTTTTAATGATTGCACGCATTTCAGCTCTGGCGATATTTCTATCGTCCTAACAATTTGATCATGAGAATCCTAACCTGCATCATTTCTCTTTTCACATATTTTCCTTCGTACGCCATGGCAACAGGTTGATTTTCGTTTTGCCTGTCGTTCTTGGAGGCTTTGTAGCGGCAGAGACGCTCACGCGTGTCGCAAGCAAGTTGCAAGACCTTAGATTTCGAACCATGTTGTGTTTTTTGCGGGCTCCTTGGGAGCAGGGAAGGGTCTTGGTACGAATGGTGCAGAAACCTGGCAAGAAGGTCCGTGCACAGGAAGCGAGCGGCAAACGTCATAGATGGATGATTGGTCTATCCCACTGATGATGAATTGGCAACTGGTTGTTTTTTTCGCGCAGCGTGGTGTCAAAAATTAGGTAGGCCGGTTAGTTCATCAAAGTTTTTTTTAGAAATTATTGTTTGACATGTTTCAAGTTTGGCGGAGGAAAAACAGTGTGAATATATTTGGGTCCAAAGGTGCGGCATACGATAAACCTGCTGCAAACCCATAATGTGTGTCTATGTGTGTCTACATAGGATACAACGCAATTTATTTGTATAGTTTTTGCAAACAATCCCTGCTGACCGAAATCAATCTGCGAAATGCTTTAGAAACAAGTCTTGTCTAAGTGGCTATCCTCTGGTAAACAGCCACATAACTATGGAAAGATCCACCATTTTTTTATGGGAAAATCCACTATAACTGGCCATGTTCAATAGCTATGTTGACATTACCAGAGGGTATCTGTAAACCACCTCAATGGCCAGGTCTGTGGCGTTGTTGGATCAGCGGCGCGCCGTTGACCTGGCCGTGGATTCCTACACCGTAGCAGCGTTGGCGGACCAGTGCGCCAAGGACTGCTAGGGTCCATGGTTTCAGCAACCTTATGACTCATGGATTTTGGATTGAATTTGGTTGAATTGAAAGACACCATTTGAAAAAGGTGGTGAAGAGGTTTGATTTTGGAAACGCGTCAACATTTTTGGGTCACTGGCATAAATGCACAGCGGTAGACACAGACAGAATGATCCAATCTTCCTAGTTTATAATGTGCTTTGCCCGAAGAAAAAACATTTTCAATTCAGCAGGTGATGGGATGTCACACAAACATTTCATGTCAATTGATGTCAATTGTGTATATAGTCTGCTCAGATGTTCATATCACACACACAATATGAACTCAAGTAGGATCACAATGGAACGAATCACCTTTGAGGCCTCTCGTTGGGAAATTGCCCTGCTGGAAATTGGCACCTGCGATACAATTGCAGCGAATCGACTGCTGGATGCTTGTGCTGAGGTTGGAATCCCAGTGCTGAGAAATGGGCGTCATCAAATTGGCACTCGATTCATTGGCCATTGCTTATTCCCAAGAAAAACATTTGGAGGTCGCAAAAAATGGTACTCCAAAATCAAGCAAAATTAGAGCATTTCAGCATTGAAACCTATGGTTTTGGGCCCATTCTAAGAAACCTATGGTTTTGGGGTCCACATTTCGAGGCGAGTGCGTGGCAGATGGCATTGCACCTCTTGGAGACCATGTTTCATCAGAGTCCACGGCCGAGTCTCATCAGCTGCAGTTCCGCCCTGAAGTCCTTGGGATCGACTGCCACAGCCGCCACAGGTCTGTGGCATTTGTCCCTGGCTTGGCTCCAGCGACTGCGGTGCCACAATTTTCACAGCAATGTGTTGGATTCGACCTGTATGGGAGCACTGGGCTGGGCAGAAGCCTTGGCTCTTTGGAAATCTGGACGTCAGGGCCTTCGTTTGGACGCGGTGAGTTTTATCTCGCTGCGACTTGCCATGGGTCGCAGATGGGATGTGAGTTTGCAACTGGCTGACATGCGACGTGCTGTGGATATTCCTGAGACTTCAGCGGACTGTGTGCTACCTGAAGCAACCTGGGAGATTGCCTTGCAACTCTCGAGCCGAGACTTGCTAGAATTTAGTGTTTTCTTTGTTTCGTGCGAAGAGGGGCAAAACGGAAATCAATTTGTGCAATTTGAAAATTCACAGTTATAGGACAACCCACCTGTGCTGTTTCCTTTACCAAAGGTTTGGTGACGTTGCAAGCGCCAGTCATCATGACAACTTTGGAGACTTGGCTGCATGAGGCCTTGAATTTCATTGGAGGACAGCTGAGTTGAGGACCATCGCCTTTTTCTTCGGTCAAGTCTATGGCTATAGCGAAATCGAGTTCCTGAAGATCTTGATTTCTTGACTCTATTTGTGCCCTTTATGTGTTTTGTTCAGTTTCTCGAAAGTACATGGTAGTTTTGGAGGATTGTCTACTTCTAAACCCACCGAAATTGCGACGCATTGATGTCAAGGAATCCTCATGGGTCCAATCTTTGGCGCAATGGCTCTGGCTGCAAGGGCGTGGGGTGGAGGTCGATGCGATTGCAGTCCAGAGTGTGCTCAAAAGCTGCAGGAGACCAGGGGCATTTACAGGGGATCTGGGTTTACAATGTAACACATGCATATAATGAATTGAATGAATTGGCTCGTATGGTCATTTTGGGGATTGCTCCATGGTATACTCCTTCCATGATTGATTGCAAAGGCTGGGTGCCCAAGTTACTTGTGATCTGTTTTAAATGAATGGATAGGTTTGAAAGGTCTGCTTGCTGCTCCCGGAAAGTTGGGAGCCCTCCGATCACCCAGAAAGATGAACATTTACATTTTAGTGGGTTCCAATGGTTTCCAAATCAGACACGTGTGGATTCCAAGGAGGGTCTTGCAATGGCAGCAGTGTCTTGCTTTCCCCATGGCCACTGGGGCCACCAGCATCTTGGGCAACAGTGCCATGGCCACCGCTGTGGAAGCTGGGCGACAATGGCTGGTCCCCAAGATGTTGCGAGCCCTGCGCAGCCATCATGTGTCGCGAGGCTCCACCATGGCGCTGGGGGTAGATCTTTAGGACGGGGCTTCAAGGGGTCAAACATGGTCAAACCTTCATGTATTAGAAGATGTGCTGAAAGAGCGGTCAAATTTCAGAAGGATGAGGAGAAGAGATTGCGATGTGTGCTTGAATATTTGATACAGCTCAACAAATGCAGATGCGAGAAATTGAATCAATCTGTGACAACAGGGAAAGAGCATACTACAAAGTTTCAAGTGCCCAGAAGAGAAGTTGAAAGGGTTGTGGGTCGTTTTGACTCTCAAGCCTATGGAGAGGACGCAGTGAAATGGCTTTGCAATTTTGAACCGGAAGGATATGTCATGCAGACACCTGTGGATTGTGAACAAGAAATATTCCAACTGGTTTTGCAAGGCCCAAATCTGGGGATTGCTATCAAAAAATGGGTTGAGACTTTACGTTGGCCCACTGACATGGATCAAGCCGATCCGTATGATTGGGGAATATCATGGTTCGAGATGACCATCTCCTTTTATCTTTTTTCTGGGATGTTATTCCCAATTCGTATTTCTGGTGCAGGTGCACGATCGAAGTATGTTGAGTATCATTCAAATGAAGCCACCTTGCTGCCGCCTACAAAGCGCTCTGGTGCTCAACAAGCATTGTGTTTTCGCAATGTTATGCAGAATTTGTCCACACTGTTGGGAGAACGGTTTTTTCCCTCGTTTAAGGAGTCCAAATGCAGTTCCATGTACAGGCTTGGATGGCGAAATGAATGTGCTGGTATCACACGGAGACCTATTTTGCCTAACAATCGGCAAACGATGACTTTCATTCAACTTTATCTTCAGAAACTTGGTGGGGTGAGAGCTTTGGCTACACCGATTTTTCAAAAGGAACTTTCACCACAACTGGAATTTGAGCACGTTGCTGAAGATGACATTCCGACACGGTACAAAAAATACATGGCATATATGAAGAAGAAGAGACGTGGGGATTAACTCATAATTTGTATTTGCTTCTGCTGTGTGCAGATTACTGCAAGTTTCAACCTCATACCTCCGCCACCTGTGCATGGAGTATGAGTCAGTGGATTGAGTCCGCATGCTTCCCGTCAAACTGTTCCTTGTTTTTTGGCGTGGTTCAACATACGTAGGGGACAACAAACATCAAGTTCTGTATAAGTTGTAATGTCAGTGGAAAACTGGTCGTGACCCACAGCCAGCCTGCAAGTCACATGGTATGCTGCAGAAGCCAAGGCAAAGTGATGTGGTTTCCTACAACATTTGCATGTCATCATATGAGAAGCGTCTTGTCCAACTTTGTGGCGAGTGTCTCCAGGGAGTAGATAGGTAGATTGGCAGTTTTTGCTGATGGGAACCACGGGCTGTCCCCACTAGCACGGATTCATCTTGGGTTATGATTAAGATCCATGTTCGAGAGATGTCCGGAAAACTGGTTTCAGCTAGTTGGACTTGCTCTTTCCTCAGAAGGTGTTTGTGGCAGCTTGTCAGTTTATTGCAGCAACGCTGGAATTTCTTGGTCATCTTGGGGTATCATTAGGGATGCCTCACAAGTCATTTTGCAAGGGGTTGATTGTAACAGGAACACTGGCAAATGCATGCTTTTGCCTCATGAGTGTCAGTTCTTTGCAGTGGAATGGAATGTAATTTTGATCGATTTTGTTTAGATGTGAGTTGGTGATGATCTCGTATTCTGCGGAAAAGTACCAGACCAAAGATAGTTCCATGGATGATGTCAGGGTGGATGTAGTCTCGTTTGAAGGCTATGTGGTGGAAATACCGTAGACCAAGAATGTTCCGCTGCTGGTGTTAGAGTGGATGAATGCTTGGGGCCATTGCTGTTGGCGCTGCAGCCCTACATGTAGATGTAAGTATGTGATATTATGTGATATTATGTGTGATGCCTCATGCACATCACCAGCCTGTGGATTTAGGCACAAGTTCTGGCGAGGCTCTCTGCAGCTATTGCAGGATCGGCTCGGGATGATCCTGGGTTCATCCATCAGAAAGGAGTTGCATATCCTTCATTGGATGGCCAGTGGATCCCATTTCAGCTGGCATAAATGGTATGTGGAGCTTTCCATAAATGGGGGTACCCCAAAAATGGAGGCTTTATAATGCTTTATTTCATGGAAAATCCCAATCTAAAATGGATGATTTGGAGGTGCCCATATAGGAAACCTCCAAATGATAATGTGTGACCTGGATGACAACCCTTGGACAACTTCAGGAGGCGGTTCTGTCATCCTTCTGCGTGGATGGCACCACGTGACCTAAGGATGGTGGCTATGGTGGCTGGTGCAAGGGCTTGGTTTTCGAGTGTGAACGGCTTTAATGATTGAATCGACTTTCAATACTACAGTTCATTGAAGTCACTGAAATTTTCCTGTGCCTTCTATTCGTCTTGATGGTTCCCCTTATTATTCGCATTTAGCCGGCCCTTTGCTTCATTGATGTGAAAGGAATTTTGACCAGACTTTGGTGTGCGACTAGTCTCCTGCAAGGTACGAGGCAGCTCTGACCAATTGTCGTGATGACTGGAAGAGGAGACTGGAGTTGGAATGATTTGCAGCTGCCTGTCCTAGATGCTAAGCTTGAATTCCCGAAGCTCCAAATGCATTGGATGTTGATTGCCTTATGAAGGATTGAAGGGGTACTGCAGGAAAACATTGGACAATCACTTTGAATAAGCGTCATGCAAAAAGCTAACACAGGGAATTTGGACCCAGAATTTTCATTTATTTCTGGGAACCCTTAGGGATCCCCTTGGATAGTCCCGTTGCAGGACGTTTTGGTTGCTGTCGAAGCTCCCACGCAAGTGGCGGAGCCTCTCCTGTTTGAACAGCGCCATGGGCGAGGAGAACCACGGCGGGATTGGGGGAACTAACTGACCCAGTCGTGCGCGGCTGGATTCTGTGATGGTTTGCATCAATTTTTGGAAGCACCAGAATCTTAACAAAGATTGACACGTTCAAAGATGATGATGTCACTGATACTCACTGATCGACTTTGGGATGACTCAGGAATTAGATTTTGCAGCAAACTGTTTTGAGTCACTAAGTTTGAGATACTTGGTTACTTGGATTGTTTGCGGAAAATGAACGCATCTGCGTGAACATGGTGACCCAATCCTTGAAGTTCTTGTAGATTTAGTCTAGTCGCTAGTCGATTAAGCGTCAGTTTGTGTTTGATGTCTTCACAAAGGCATTGACCTCAGAATCAAAATAACCAGGAGGAACGGATTGTAAAAAAGCGCGCGAGAACTGGTGCTGATGGCCGTCTGTTCAAAGGAAGCAGATTTAAATCATCAACTGAAGGAACACGCACTGTGCTGAGCAGTTCCCAAAGAGCAGGTCTGAGTTGTAGCCATTCCCCAGCATCTCCCGAGAATTTGGAGCATCATTGAGGAGCCATGGGAACAAAGCATGGAGCTCATGGTTGTCATGAAGCACCAAGAAGTGGAAGCTGATGTCATCACACACAAGGCACCTGTGACTTTCACTGCAGCACCGTTCGCAACTGTGGTGCGGCAAGAAACGCTGTACTTAGAGATTTGCAATTCAAATAGTGTCCTCGCAGTTCATTGGCTTTGAATCCTCTAGAGACTTTTGTTCAACTGATAGTGTAGATCTTAGAATCTTAGGTCCGCTGGAAACAGGCTTGAGCCACTTGATAGAGTATGCGTTTTCAAGTTCTGCAAGGACTCAATCAGGCCTGTTCTGATTCTCTCGTCCTACCAAGTACACCTCGACCCATCATCGGTTAAATGCTTCAAAAAAATTCAAAAAGAACGGTGCTACCGCAATTTGTGAGGTACCATAGGCCTTTTCAATTGTCATCATCTATGGTACCTCACAAAAAGCCCTTTCGAAGGGAGCAGATCAACTTGGGTCATCTTCGGTCAGGCGATGATCAGCAGCTTTGGCCGGGGGATGCAATGGAAAGCGACCCTAGGAGAACTGATTCCCTTGCGAAAGCAAGCCTTGATAGCCTTGCACAGAAAGGAGGCTATGGTGGGCTGGGGTGATGATTTTGAAACAAGTCTATGGAAAGAAGTGGATGGAGAGAAGTGGAGAGAAGTGGAGAGAAGCGGAGAGAAGTGGAGAGAAGTGGAGAGAAGTGGAGAGAAGTGGAGAGAAGTGGAGAGAAGTGGAGAGAAGTGGAGAAGCGGAGAGAAGTGGAGAGAAGTGGAGAGAAGTGGTAAGAATAAGTAGATGGAGGTAAGTTCTCCGAGGTCAGCTGGTAGAGGCCTCTCTCACTTGCAGGAAACTTGAAGTCACAAGGTTGCATGCACATATCTTCTGCAGCAATTTCTTTCCGCGTAAAAAATTGAGATTGTAGCAAAACCATTTTTGAAAGTATTATGCGTGTATGAACAGTTGCAAATCACAGTGGCATATAAAAACAGGGTTGGTTGGGAGTGACTACCGGCAAGACGCAATCATGAATTGCAGGCCAGTTTCTAGGATCAGGACAAATAATAATGTTGGTTTCAATGAAGCTTTGATGTTTCTTTTCGTGGTTCATGCAGTGGTTTGGGAGACATTTCCTGATCAGGTCATCATGAAATTAAATGACATCAGCATCAATGCAGCATTTTGTTAGGTGATTGTTTTTTTGGCCAACTCCAGTTCTAGTGGCGTGTCAGCTCTCAATCGAAGCATCGAACCTTGAGACACTCATCATCATGAGGGTCTCCCAACATTCACGTTGGGCGCATGGCCAGCTGGAAGCGTGGAAGTTTTTTGGCTGACGACGTGTTCATATGTGCGGTGTTGTTTGAGGCATTTTCTGAAAGAGAGCATCAACCAGAACTTGTTTGAAACGAATTCTATTTTGCAGTGCTCGCCTGAGGCATTTTCCTCCTGCTGTCCAACTGTGCCTGCTCCATCAACTCGTACATGAGCTTGCTAAGCAGTTAGACAGCTGGCAGATTCCATTTTTGGCGGCCACGCCTCCAGAGTCTCAGCTGAGATTTTCTGGAGGGAGGTCTAAATCCTCAAGCTTGGACAGTCCTTTTCAAAAATACTTTGAAATTTTAAGGTGCTCAATGCTACAGGAAAAAGTCTGGAACCCAGGAACTAGATATTGAGGTTTGAGTGCGTGCAACAACTCCAAACATCCCATCAGCACACCTCAATCTGTAAGTTCTCTCTCTCTCTCTCTGCGGTTTTTATGCCACAATCTACTCACTTTGCTTCCCTACAGTTTGGGGATTACACAGTGCGTCTGGCAACACACTTGGCTGTTGGTGAGTCCTTGCAGTTTTACATGCTCTCCTTACCGCTCCATAGTCTGCCTCATGCCCTGGGGTGGCATGGTTTCCACATTTTTCCACTAAGGATCTACTTGCAGTGCTAGTGGCATCCTGTACAGCAGGGGGCAAGAAGCATGGCGATGAAAAGAACCGCACAAGGCTTTCAACTGGCGGCACCAAGAATGAAATAATGACAGTGCATAGACAGCTCCATTTCTTGCAACTGTCCGACCCGCAAAGTATAGCACAAAATCCGTAAGCTCATCAGTCCAGCTGGTCCATGCAACTTTATAACGATGCGGTCTTGGATTTGTTCCGTGCTCGACCACTTGTTCAGGCCGCGTTCCAAAATTTGGAGACGGAGGTCAGACAGACGGTCTGCAGGGGTTGTTGAGGCTGAGGATCAATCGTCAGACTCAACAACCCCTGCAGACCGAACCGTGATGGTGGCATTGCGAAGGCCATGTCCAGCGCCACATGCATGACTTTCTTCAGGGTGTGAACTGTGCCCAACGTCGATTCCTTCTGATGAGCTGACATTGAAGTGTGCTCTGCCTCATTCTCACGTCTATCAAGTAATGTTCCCACTAGCCGTAATTTGGTCTCTTTTGATCACTGTTGTAATGAAACTGTTAGCCAAGTTTGGGCACGAAAGCCCAGGGCACCTTCGGCCTTGCAGCGAGCTGACGCGCACCAAGTGCAACCTCATGGGGACTCAAAGGGTGCTCTGATGGAGGCTGGGCCACTTCCATTCTGTTTATGTAGAGATTTGGGAGCCAAAACGCTTCAAGCTTTCTTGGATCAACATGGTCCGATCTGGAAACCAATCTCGCTTCTAGAGAACTCTGGGACCTTTTGTATCGTTGAGGTGGATGGTATGCCTCAGCCCATTGGCGAAGATGAAGCTTGTGAGCCAAAACTTGGCCAGACATTTTGCGGTGATTTTCTTTTGTGCTCGGATTTTTGGACGTCCACTGCACTCGATGGAATAATCCCTTCCCCCTAATACTAACCCCCCGTCCCCAAATAATAAACACTTCAGGTAGTTTTTATTATTAGGTATTTATCATTAGGGCACCCTATTAATAAGTTTAAAACCTTAATAATAAAAACTAGTTTTTCCGATTTCAAAATCAATTAAGTTTCCTTATATAACGCGGTTAAAGTATTGCCAAGAGTTGGGTTTCGAAGCGGGCCCTATTAATAAGTTGGGGGCCCTGGTGTGCAAGCTGCAGTGGCAGTACTTGAGTAATTCTGGGTGTTGCAACAAAAAAATATGAATATCATCGAAGGAAGTTTGGAAGTCAAACTTCCGACAATATGGAGAGATGAAAAAGCAGTCAGCAGGGAGAAGAGTCAGAAGAGAAAAGATCAGAAGAAAGAAGATGCAGGTGCGCGAAAAGGTAGGAAAGTCGCGAAACACTGTGTTTTTTCGTGGTTTTGTGGCTCCGGAGGGTTGAAAAGTAGGCTCGCTAAAGCGGCGGGTGCGGAGACATCTAGGGAGATGAGAGATGAAAAGTTGCACGCCGTTGTGGCGCGAAGCACATTTGGAAGTAACATGTGTTAAAAATTGAGGGGTTCGGACCACTTTTGGAAGTTGAGATGTTGAAAAAGTGCACGCCGTTGTGGCGCGAAGCACTTTTGGAAGTTGAGATGTCGAAAAAGTGCACGCCATTGTGGCGCGAAGCACATTTCCAAGTCAAAATGTACAAAGCACACCATTGGACCACTTTTGGAAGTTGAGATGTCGAAAAAGTGCACGCCGTTGTGGCGCGAAGCATCGCGCCACTTTTGGAAGTTGAGATCTCGAAAAAGTGCACGCCGTTGTGGCGCGAAGCACATTTCGAAGTCAAAATGTTCAAAACACTAGGGGCTCGGACCACTTTTGGAGGTTCAGATGTCGCTTCGCTTCGCTTCGGGTCATTACACTACACTATACGCTCCACTACACTACATTACACTATACACTCCACACACTACAGTACATTACACTACACTACACTCCACAACACTACAACTACGTACAACTACAGAACTACACAACTACACTCCACTACACTCCACTACACTCCACTACACTCCACTACACACCGCTACACTAAATTACACTACACTACATTACACTATAGACTCCACACACTACAGTACATTACACTACACTACACTCCACAACACTACAACTACGTACAACTACAGAACTACACAACTACACTCCACTACACTCCACTACACACCGCTACACTAAATTACACTACACTACATTACACTACACTAGAAAGATCGATAGATAGATAGATAGATACATAGAAAATAGATAGGTAGGTAGGTAGATCGTCAGCGAAAGAGAGAGAAAGAGTGAGAGAGATCAAGCACCTTTCAGTCCATCAGTGGCTTCGCTCTGCCATCCCGGATTCACAGCAACCAAGCTCTCCTATAGGTTTCCTATTTTTGAAACTTCCGGCACCGCCTTGTGCGGTACTACTGGTATATTATATATCGTAAGAGTCCAGTATACGGTATATCTCACAATTGAGTAGTCGCCTGACTAGCTGACGGTTTTGTCTTTTCTTTCAGGGGTGTCTTGCTACGGATGGCCGCACATGTTGCATGCTTGAGGAGACTCAGATGGAGCATAGCTTTTCATTATTGCTTCACAGGCACCCACGAATGCGCCAGACGATGCATCGTGCGAGAGTAAGGCCGCTCCTGCTATTTTCTTCATGCTACTCTGTAGATTAGAACCGTAAGTATCCATGTTATCCAGCACCGTAAGTTGGTTCAACAAGGTGCCCCCTGGAAACCTCTTTCTCTGCCATATTCCTTGAAGCCAGCATGTGGTTCTTGTGGCTTCAAGGTAATCGCTTTGATGGGTTTTGGTCAGAGATCCCTGTGACTCTTCAGAAATCTTGACTTGGAGCCATCAAGAGCTGACAGTCTAACCAAGTGCTGTGGAGAAACTCCGTTAGGATACATAGGAAGAGGGCTTTAAAACGTAGAGCATGGATATTTTTCAAACGAACTCAGCTTCGGGAAAGAGCCACAAAGATAGCCAAGCGTTTCCTGCGTCAAAGCACGCTCCAAAAGAAGCAACTCCTACGCAAAACTTTTAACAGAAAAATCAAGAAGAAGTGTATCTGGGAAATGAACTTAACAGGGAAATCAATGTGAAACATGAAATTTTGAACAAACTCCAAGCTGTCAGAATAACATGGTTCAAACTTCTGCCTTATTGGAAAGCGTCGGATGCAAACGTAAAATGGAAACTTAGATTTTTTGATGCAGTGATCCGAGCCAAGTTGTTATATGGTTTGGAAACGGTTCATCTTACAAAAGCCATGTTGAACAAAATCGACGCATTCCAGATCCGAGGATTGAGGAAAATCCTCAACCTCCCGTCTACTTTTATTGACAGGCGGTTCACAAACAGATATGTTTTGCGAAGAGCATCCGATCTCATGTCCACTCATGGAAATCATGAAACCAACTACCAACCTTTTATTCAGCCATTATTATAATGAAAGGCGAGCCAAATTATTGGGACATATTGCCAGAACCACTCAACAAGACCCTTTACGTCAAATCTCCTTTCAACCAAATTCAGTGAACCGCGTCCCATATGGAAAAAAGAGGCACGGTAGACCAAGGCAAAACTGGTTGCATTACACCAAAAAATATATATACGAAGATAAACTGCATCAGTTTAACTATGAAGAGACCGTTCAAGAGGATGCACGTATATTCAATGCAGCCAATGCTAGATACTTTTCACAAAGCAGGCACGTTTGGCTATGCCTACGCCTTGCTTCCGCTTTTGACATGTCGTCGTAGCAGGGTAGGGCAGCAAAAAAAAAACAGCATGAGAAACAAAATCTGTGGATCTCCAGAAGATCTAGCAACTTGGATCATGTCCAAGACATTTGAGAATCCCATCGATCCTGCCATCCTTCCAGGTCCCGAAGTCCCTGGAGATGCAGATGGAGTGATGCTGGCTGCCTTGAGAGCACGTTTGGGAGTGGAACTGGAAGTCCAACCCGATGATTGGAGACTATACCTTACCGAACCTATAGTTTTGATGCAGAAGCCGTCTACTCGACTCAAGATTTAGGGGGTGCTTTGAATGGACTTCTTTGTTGATGCTGCTGACCAGTGGCGTCCTCAGTGACAGGAATGAAGAGCTTCAATGTCGAGTTTGTGAGTTGGAGCCGACCTCAAGTGTTGGGTTTGGCACACAAACATACAGACACACACAGACAAAACATGCAACTGCATGCGCAATATCAGGATCAAACATACATGTTCATCGTTTTTTTCTCTATATCCCTCTCTCTCTGCATAGTAGGAATATCAATATTATACTGCACCACGGGTCTGGAGCTGGCGGATTCTCCCCACCATCACCTGCCCGTACCTGGCCTCAGGAAGAACTTCAAAACTAACTCCGTCAAGTCAAAGAAGAGTTGAAGCAGAAGGTTCAACTTAGTGCCATGTTGTGCCTGTGCTGCTTGCTGCAACTTGAGCAGGCGATGACAATCCGCAAGCCATGGGGGCCTTTGGAGGTCTGGGCTTCGATACCACTGTGGGTGAAGCGCATGCGCATGGCTGGATCTGGATATATGGAGACTCACCATGCCGGGGACTTGGAATGGTTCACGCTTGCGGTTGCGAAGCCTTGCAAGATCCCTGCAGGCACATTTATGTGAATGCAGCATTCGATGTTGTTCTTAGTGATTGCACCGCGCATCTAGCTCCATCAAACAATCCGTGTGATGAGAATTTGGCGGATGGTGAATGTTGTTTTTCTTGCTTTTTCCTTATGCAGGATTGGCTATGCAGATGATACAAATGGTGCGGACTCACCGCGTGCAAGACTTAGGCCCCTTGCTGGTGACAGCTGGAATTTTGGAACGCAAAGAAGAAACACCTGCTGCGCCATTCCGTCTGGATCAACCTCGATTGTCGGCCATCTGGAGCCAATTCTGCTTGGTTTTTATCCCATTGCAGGCTGAGGGCTCGCCATTGGTCAAGCGCACGTGCTGGTATCACCAACACTATGGCCATTGTGTTCGCTGCTATTCAGTTGCCACCTACAAAGGCTTCATGCGAGAGGAAGCACCATGTCAGACAGCAGAGGAGGCTGCAACGGCCTTAGGGGATTCGGGCGATGAGGCAAGGATCCCGGAGACCAGGTCCAAGAGGCAGAAGCGCAAACGCGGTTGAAACAAGGGCCGCATGACAACCTGCATGCTGCAGCAGTTTCTTTTAGATTGTGGAAAAAAACGTGTCTAGCAGACATGTGCTACCAGCGATGTCAATCTCCCAAGAGACTGCTCCGACAAATCTGACAAGTGGCGAAAAAGATTGCGAATCACTTCGTTGCAGGGCCTCACGTGTGATGAACCAACTGAGCGTGCATTTGTTCAAGTCAGAGAGAAACAGGATTATCAAAAAATGTGGTCATGCAATTGGATGCTTGCTTGATTGGGATTCACGCAACTGTTGGAAACAGGATTTGCTTGACTTGAAATTTTCTGCTGATAGCAGTCCTTCCTGTGTCCTTTACATGTTGTAGTCATATGAAACTATGAGACTCACATTCTTATGATAACTTTCACATTCAAAATCGCCAGTGAAGCATTGACCTCAAGAACCTGATCTCCGCACTTGAGGCTCATATCGTGAGCCGAGTGGCGCGTGGTGATCCAATCTTTTTGTGCCTCGGTTGGTTGCAACAGGTCACAGAAGGTTGGGGGAAGGTCACGTCCCAGATTGCAGAAGGTTAAGCGAAACACCTGTTATAGACTCCAGTAAAGTTTTTGAATCCCATCTCTGAGACGTAGCCTGGGAAAGAACGGAGGAGAGGAGGATGTTGGCTTGCAAAAGAATTCGATGCGTTTACAAGCAAGAACAGAAAACACGGATTCAAGGATGCGTAGGTGCAAGATAAACAGCCATGAAATGCAATGTTTTTTTTTAGCTGGCTGATTGCAACCTAATAGTTTTGCAACAAGCTGTTCCTCCCGTTCCTGCCTGTGACTTTGAAGACAGTGGTCAAGAGCTCGGTATGGAGGTGCTCAGTATGGAAGTGCCTGGCAGTTTATGCGGACCTTCTTCCTTCCACTCAAACCTCGCCTTCGCATTATCAAAAGCCAATGCTCTTCAGTTAAGGCTGTGGGATCAAAAAAATGCCCATACAGCTGATCCGAGGCAGAATTTGTTCCGGACGTAGTTTGTGTTTTTGTGCAACTCATCGATCTTGCTGCTGTTGCCACACTGTGCCATTTGTTCCAGCACGATGGTTTGAGTGCAAATCCCATGTGTAACTGCTAAAACCCCTGTAATCTCTCGAGTCTCAAGCTTGGACAGCATAGAAAACACCCGGAAGAGCTGTAGTCCTAACAATTTCCATGTAAGCACATTAAGATCCATGCGGGCAAGATTGCAGTTCCTTCTTGTTTTTTTGCGCAAGATTCGGCGTTCTGTTAGAGCAATGAAGCGCCGAGCGCCATAAAGTATTAAGGTTTTAAATTTATTAATAGGGCCCGCTTCGAAATCCAGTTTTTGGCAATATTTTAACTGCGTTTTATATAAGGAAACTCAATCGATTTTGAAATCGAACGAACTAGTTTTTATTATTAAGGTTTTAAATTTATTAATAGGGTCCGCTTCGAAATCCAAGTTTTGGCAATATTTTAATTGCATTATAAGGAAATTTAATTGATTTTGAAATCGAACAAACTAGTTTTTATTATTAAGGTTTTAAGTTTATTAATAGGTTCCCCAATAATAAATACCCACCCAATAATAAAAACTACCTGAGGTGTTTATTATTAGGGGAGGGGGGGACGTTTAGTATGAGGGGGAAAAGATTATATCTCCACATGGATGATTTTGTAGGGGGCCCATTCATGATATTGGTCAGATAGGGCGTTGGGTGTTCTCGCTCCTATTTTCTGGTGGACATTTCATCTTCCAAACGTCCGTGACGCTGCGAGGAGTTTCGACATCTTTTGCGTGAGTGGTATCCAGACAAGAATCCGGAGAAGAAGGCCTGCGAGAACCCGTTTCCTCCATGAGTGAATTTTTCAGATTGTGAGCGCAAACATTTGTTGCACCCACAAACTTTGTGAAGTTGGGCTGAGGACATGGCCACCTCCATTTTCCAGTTCCTGCAGCAGCAGAAAACCTTCCTCAACCTGAGGTGACTTTCTTCAACCTTTGATTCAATGAACAGCAGGATGTTGATGTGTGCACTGTATGTGTATACATATACTATACGGTATATACACATATATGAATATGATATGTGTAGTTCATATACTTCCACACATGTTGACCATCGGTCACGCAAGAGATCAATCAAGCAACTGACATACGAGGAGTTGCTTCGCTGCTTTGTGGCCAGGTAGCCCTTCTACCGCAACGGATGAGTATGCGTTCGTGATGAACATTCACTTGCTGATCTTGCTGTTCGGACTGCTGATGAAAAGGTGTTTCCTCAGCTGAGCCATGTCACAAAAAGAGTTTCTTAAAGCACCATGAGGTCTTCGAACAGGCGGGAAGAACTGCGCCTCGCCCTTGTGGGCTCAACGGTAGAGGACTCACAATCATGGAGGGCCAAGGATCCCATCAGCCAAAAGATCCCAATTCTACAGCACTTCGCCATGCCTGTCATCCATATCTTTCCTCATTCTTATCACACCTTCACCAGTAAGTGGAGAAAAGCATAGGGACAACCACAATAGAAGAGGGCACCAGGGCCACGCCAAATTTAGATGTACTGCAGACTTAGTCAGATTACTTATTTGTTTTAGATACGCGCGAAATCAATATCCGTTGAGACACCACAAATTGAACGCGGAAAGTTGGCGCACAGGCGCCCAGCGTTGCACATGCTCATATCCAAAACTACTGCATTTTGTGGGCCTTCCCCCTATGTCTAGAATATCAAATGATCAAATGGATCTTCCAATATCATAGTGGCATCGCAAGTGAACCTCATAACTGCAATCCTGCAGCTGTGACACATTCCTCCGGTGCAAAAAACTGCAAGTGGTGCAGCTGGATACGGAGATGTCTGTGTGCCCAGAGGGGTTGACGGCCGAGGTATTGCGTCCATGGTTCCATCATCCACTCTTTGAGGGAAACATATCTGATAACCAAATTTAGGCGTTTAAAGGTGATAATCAACCATGGGATGTAGTGGGGTTCCAGATCAGTCCCCCATTCTTGGAGAAACCCAAATATCCAAAGCCAGTTGTGCAGGAGTCTTTGCTGTTGTAAACCCTATAAACCCTTGGGGGAAATTCATACGGGGATGCTTTGTGGTTTGGGGTTCCCCACATCGTTTTTTGTATCCCCATTGATCATACATATCCTCTTTTAGTGTAATTAAGTCCCCATGTACTACCAATTGGTAATCGATCGTGGCAATGGAAGCCCTTCATGTTCATATTCCATCAATGATGATGATGATGATGGTGATGATGATGATGATGATGATAAACATTAATTATAAATTATGATTATTGTTAGATTATTGTTATAAGTTGCGTATAATTATAAATTATGATTATTGCTAGATTATTGTTATTATTCTATCATAAACATCATTATTCTAGCCATTAATGGGGATTATTGATTTCTTATGGGTATCAATGGATATCCCCATCTATAAGCAAACTTCTGGCCATTCTACAGATGATATTCAAGGAATGCCAGGCCAAAGCGATTTTTCGCCAAGGCTCCGGGTGAACTTGGCGCCAAAGTTTGCGCGATGCGGTCCGCTCAGACGTTGACGAAACGAAGGAGTGGCGAAAATCTGGGTTCAGCAGGATGAATGGGATGGGAACAGTAGAGCTATATGGGGGGTTTCCATAAATGTACCCCAGTACCCCAGTAATAGAAGAAATAGATGGTTGATTTCATGGAACATCCCAATCTCAAATGGATGATGACTGGGGGGTAGCCCTATTTTAGGAAACTTCCATATAGGGATGGGTCAAAATGTCAAAATGATCAGTAACCAGAAGCGTGGTATTGCTGTACTTGCTGATCGTCAAGTACTGTACCATTTGATCAGCCGTCAAGTCGGCATTGTTGCTGAGTGATATCTTCATCTTTACTCTGGGTGGAAACTTTTGAATCTGGGACTATCAAGTTGCATGGTTCTTTGGTTTGTTTAGCTGAAAGAACTTGTTGCTACATTCTTTGGTTTCCGAACCCCCCACTCATCTTGGTAAGCACGTTTTCTGGTGAAATCCCCATTTTTGTTGATTGATTGGTGGTGGTTAACTCGGAAACAACTCGGACTTCCCACAGCCGACCCCATCCGGACTTCGGCTGAGGTCTGAGTTCCACAGCCAGCGAGGCTGTGAGGCGAAAACTCGGGTGCCTGGAAGACCTGAACATGGCCAAAGTTCTGTGGGTTTCCCGAAAAATGGAGAATCAAACGATCAACCCCCAAAATTGCAATTTCAAGACGGATAACTATCTTGGGGGAGCCCTATAAGCCTATTTTCAGACAAACCCCGGCACCAAAACGGATTATGATCCAGACACTTTGTTGGCTGCCCACTGACAAATTGACCATTTCATTGGGCGTGTAAAGATTTCTTGCTTGTCCTTCATTCTTGTTGCGTATCTCTTCTATCTCTTCACTTCCCAACCATTTCACTGCTACCAGCGATCTAGCTGGTGACAGCCAGAACGGTACCCTATTTGGAGTATGCCCGCAGCGCACGGCAAGATGTGGTCGGGAAACTCAATGCCCCAGACAGGTGCAGATGGATGGTTTTTTGATGCTTGTGGTTATGTCCATGGGTAGAATTTTAGGGCCCATGGCATATTTTTGGTCATTTTGGTACCGTTGTTTGTCATCCAACAGTTCCGGGGTACTCGAGTCTGGACCATACACAAGTGTGAAAGTGGATAACCGACGTTCAGAGATACAGTAGAATAGGAGAATAGGATAAAATATTGTAGGATAATATAAGATAGACAAGAGATACTAATGTAATCCCTTTTGATCTTGGACCAGTCCCGATTTGACCAAGGCAGAGGTCATGCGACAGCTTGAGGCCTGGGGTTTGGATGAGATGGCTCTGAGCTAAAACCCAAAGCTATGATCCATGAATCGGGGTGTTGAAAAATGGGGATCACAGCTTTGGAACATAGCCATGAAATTTGGATTTGTTTTCCTCACTGAATGGCCCTATATTAGGTAGAGATCCCATGTGTGGATACACCGAAGTCGAGAGAATGTTGAAGAACAGAACACCTGTAGAGCAGAAAAGATGAGAAATGGAACTCATGTGGTTAAAACAATAATAAACCATCCCCCAAATCACCATAAATAGTTGCTACAAATCATTCCCAAGTGGGTGGTTCATGGCATTGTTTAAACCACATTACTCGGATATCCAGCCATTTGCGAAACGAAATCCGTTACCTCTGGGTTTCGAGGGATTTCAGTGCCGGATTTAAGGCCGAGTCATCTGTGAATCATCCAATGTGGCCAACCCAGGGCTCCCATTCTGAACGATTGCATGGGCTGTCCTCCATGGCGTCCGGGACGGAGCTGGGGAGGTTTTCCTCCAACAATGCAGCATTTTCCACCAATGTATGGTCATTTTAATGGGATTTCCATGATGATAATGGTTAGGAATTGGAGGTGCTCCATTCTCGCACAGACCGATTTGGGAGTTGCCGCGTTGATGCAGTCAGTTTCTTCGAGTCTATAGGTTGATGGTGTTGATTAGGTTAAAGTCCATTACAGTCATATCAACATGTTCAGACCATTGACATAATCGTCCCATCAAGATGTTGGATATTTTTACATAGAGTTTCATATACATCATATACTTTCCATTCAAAGTCTATGAAAACTATATTGAAGTTCGAGAACTTGAAAGACACTTTCCATGATTCCCGGCCTTCCAAACAACGCATTGAGGCTGGACATTTGGCCCAAGGAGTCGCCGCAGTGGCGTTTAGCAGGTGCCAACTTACCGAGGTCATTTGGGATTCTTTCGGGTTAGTTGAGCCTATCTGGCAATTATCACCAGAAATGGAATTGGAACTGATTGGCTGGGATTGATGACATACTTAATCCCACTTTTTGGCTGGATATATTAGTCTTGTGACGATTGCAACCTGCTACCTTTGTGGCAGCACAAACTGTTTGGCCGATGGCCTGCGATGGGCACCAGCTCTCAAGAATGGGACTGATTCCGATTTTTGATCGGATCATTCTATATGTCCACAATCTTTGGTGGTCCCCGGAGCCATGGACTATTGTATCTGATGTAAGATCTCCATATTTGTTTGGCTGCATATCAAAACGATCAGAATTATTGGATCAACTCTCCCTTTTTTGGTGGTCTAAGTGGTCTCATAAGTCCACATGCACCGAAGTTTGCTGCAACCTCTCAGGCGAAGTGGTGCCACAGGAGATCGAAGCCAAAGCCCTGCAGCAGGAGATGCAGGGGAATTTGCCCGTCCACCCTGAAGATAGCCGCAATTAAGCCTATGTTCGTTCGGTTCCGCAATGTTCTGTTCATGGTGAGTAATGAAAGAATTAAGATCACTGATAGATATAAAAAGTAGGAAACCATCGAAACCAGTTGCTGTTGCAGTAAAAGATTAGGATCCCGGCAAACCACTTATTCAGATTGTACAGTTCCAACAATTTTGATCCCAAAAAACGTGCCAACACGTTGGAAAAGAACCCATCTGAAACAGGAGCTCAGTGACGAGGTACGCTCCCCTGATGCTGGTGGTGTACCTGATGTCTTGATACCTCGATCATCAGAAGATTCCTTCAATTATGTTACAGGTGCTCAATTTGCTCGATTTCATTGTATATATTGGATATTGATTCCCCTTTTTAACCAAATCAAGTTGATATATCAAGTTGATATATTTTAACCAATATCCAATTGGATCTTTTAACCACATGTGGTCGATTTCACAATGGATAGATGTCATTTGCTCCAGGGAACCTCCGGTGAAGCTAGAGCTGCCATGCTTCGAGTGCTGTGTGTTTGGGGAACCCAAGGGATTCTTGGGAGGTGGCAACTGGAAATCCACTGGATGTTGATGGAGCAAATGGCGATAACTGGAATGATCCTCCAAAAGTGGAAGTTCCACCATTTTCAGACCATATGTCAGTGGTTCCATGTGGTTCCAGTTCCACGGGCCTCGCCTTCACCGAGGGAATTCGTTCGCGCCCCTCCTTGCGTTTGGCAGAGTCGGTGGTGTGGGCCACAGCAATGCTCCGTGCGGAGGAACCCAGTGGCGTTTTTCCTTTGGAACCCGAGATGTTCTACTTTCAGCGCGCAGCTGCAGAAGCCAGATATAACGATTTATGACTCCAGTTGAATGGCCTGGAAAAAAATCAACTGCACCGCCCAGGCGAAGGATGCCTTGGTGTGGAAGATCAATCTGCAGGCGCTATCTGTTGCAGTGGCAGTTCCAAGCACAGTGGGCAAGTGGTGCTATGATTGTTGTACTTCATTGGAAATCTCGGTAAGATCCATATTTCCAGCCTTTCGCTTGGACTTTGCTGGCTCAGTGCCTTGGATGTGCCTTGTTTCTCTTGGCAACTGGAAAAGATTTTTCGAGATCTGACCACACTGGGACTTCAGCAATTGCCGTTTGACACTTGTACAGTGGCCACAGTGGCTTGTTTGCGCAGCTACCAGCTTAATTCAATTTACAGGATATATCATATCCATTCAATTGAAACTTGGCTTTGCCCCATAGTCTTGAGACTGATAGATTGGGATATGTGCGGCTCAGTTACCCAGATATTCCAAACAATAATGTATACCCAATTTTCCCCATTGAAAGTGCCATGTTTGGGGCATCCCCCACTTTTAGACAAAGCCATATCATACTGTTGCCTATCTGTCACAATATGGCAATCCCATGATATCTCCATGATATCACCATTCCGATCCAGGAGCTCTGCAGATGCATCGCAGCCTTGGCCGACAGTGGATGGCATCCCATGCCGAAGGCAGGCTTTCCCCATGGCTGGAGTTGCTGTGTCAATTGGCAAAAAAGAACAGCAGGCCCAAGATGGTTGGGATTCATTCCTATGAGAAACTCTGGTTGAATGTATCTTTTCATGTGGGGTCCATTTGTTGGGGGGGAAAAAATTGTCAGCAAGTTCTCACGAAAACCCACCAAAAGACCCGACAGGGTATACTTTACAATACCTCCCAATGGTGTTTCCAATGGTACCCCAAATAGTTCTTTCAGATCAGTAAATTAGTAAATGAGGCTTGGATGCTGAAAGAACATGGTTCCCGTAGTTTCTGTGCTGACTTCACAATCATGATGCACCTGCACAGGACTCAAGCCTGATGATCTTTGCCAAAGAGGCTCCGCATGAATGGCAGTGCCTAGGTGTTTCCTTTGGAAACCCCAAGATGTATGGCAATTGGAATAGCAAAATGATGATTGAAGGAAGTCTAGAAGTCAAACTTCCGACAATATGGACAGATGGAAAAGCAGAGGTGGGAACAGTCAGAGAAGAGAAGAGAAGAAGCAAGGAGATATAGAAGAGAAAGAGTCAGAAGAAAGAAAATGCAGGTGCACGAAAAGGAAGACAAGTTGCAAAGGAACGAGTTTGATTTGAGCCTCCCCAAAGTGACCTCAGTTAAAAAATCAGACGAAAACCTCATTCGCAAAAACACGCGGGTTTCCCACAATTTGTCTTGCGCTGAAGGGCCTACAGCGCTTGGCAGCTGGAGCCAAGCTGCTGGAAGGGAAGCTCAGGGTGAGTCGTGGATGGTTGGAGGGTCACCTGCTGATGAAACGTATGAAGTGCTCGGGGTTTTGCAGTGTATTGAAAGGCCATCTAGAAAGACATATAGATGGCGTGCAGATGGCTATGAAGAACCCCATCCTTATGTTTTGACTGCTGGATTGGGGTTCGTTGGCTAGATGTACAACTCTCCCGTTCTGCGCATTGGCTTGTACACCCTACTTCATAGCACCACATCATAACATCTTTCGGGCATTTGCAGAATGAAAGCGCACATTGTCACTCTTCACTGTTGGTTCCACCATCTCAATCATTGATGTCCTTTCTCTCAAGTTTTTTTTTTTAAGCAGTGGTGCCGAGCAGTGGAAAAAAAAATACTTTTACCATGTCAGGACACCATATGGATCTGTCTGAAAAATGAGAGCTAACTCATTTAGTGGTGATGTGACGATTATCCAGTGGAGCAGTATACCCTAATCTGTTGACCTCAATTGATGGTTTCATTCCTCAGTTAAATCCCTATGTTTCATGTTTCTATCATGTCTTATTCACATCTTAGCCGCTCAAATAGCACTTTGGGTTGGTTACATACCTCCATGTTTCGTGGAGGACCCCAGATCGAGGCACTGGAGCAGCTGCTCACTTCGCACCGAGCTGCGTTGGCCTTGAACCTTCAGAGGCGCTGTGCGAAAATCTGGGTGACCACTTGTCATCTTCGAAATGTTATCCATGGATTTTGTTTATTGAGAACAAATAGACACGAGATATCTTGGATCAGAAAACAATCAAGAGATGATCTTTCTTTCACTATAGAAGAGGTCTGATGTTGGGATGTTTTTTGTACGGTGTGGAAAATAGAGTGAGGCAACCGATCATAAAAATACGCCTCGAGCGAAGAAGCACAGCTATTAACATGGTTTCCGTTTTTTCCCAGAAGTTTTACACACAAATGAAGATGAATACCATCTGGACCAGGAAGAAGATGAGTCATCAAAGAAAGTATCATTCACATCTTCAATCCAAGAGTGAACAACATGATTCAATGATCTATCTTGGCCAACAAAGAAAACTGACCCCGACTCCATTTCGGCCACGAGTTCTCAGACAATTCTTCTTTTTCTTCCCCATGAATAGACCTGCCACTGAACCCAATTAATCCACTTTCCTGCCCTGTCCGTCAGTTCGGCTTCGGGTCTCACCTCTGAACTCCGGAAGCGGGTGCTGCGGGCAACTTGGCTGCAAGGGCTACCAGGATTCCGTGTCGCGGATCTCTTTATCCCAAAAAATCCTGGTGTCCAGTGGGCTACGTATCTCCTTGAAACTGCACGTTGCCTTGGTAACATGGGCCCCGTTCCAACATCGGCCACCGCATTCTTTGAGGTGGTCCGAAACGAGAAGTCCCTGGGTTGCAAAGATGGATCGCAGGGGGGCATCGGTCAGATTTAATGAAGCCGCCAAGCTGGGTTTGAGAGACCATAAGTGCTGAGGGTGCTACAAAAAGACAACTTCTTCCCAAGCTGCCAAGGTCTGACAAAGATCAGAAAGGTGCGGCTGCAGCCATTCAATGAACGTGGGGAGGGTGAATTGATTTTGGTTGAGAAAGCATAATGTAAAAGTGTGATTGACAAGACACACTCCGGCAGTCCTATCTTTTTGCTGCATCTTGATGCTTCCAGCCTGAATTTCTCAGTAGTGAAATATCCAAGTTGAAACGCCATTTACCACCCTTTGTTTCTGAAACGACTAGCCAATCCTCAGTCAACTTGGGTCAGGTACGTTGGGCCCCGTGAGTTCTTTGGTTGCTGCCGCGCAAGCACTCAATGAGGCGTGCCGGGTGCTCTATTTTTAAACCAAATCAGAAGATTACCCTCTGGTAAACTAACATAACTATGGAAAATCACCATTTTCAATGGGTAAATCCACTATAAATGGCAATGTTCAATAGCTATGTTAAATTACCAGAGGGTACATGCTGAAGTCAACAATCAAAGGCCACCGAATGGCCAGACCATCAGCATGATTCGTCGGCATCACAATATCGATCAATTTGATTGAGCCAAACCAATGATTTCTGGCTTCCCATTTTTTCATCATTTCCTTGCACCCTTTATTCTTGCCACCAGAGGCCTGTCATCTTCTGGAATCCAGATGCGCTTCCAAGTAGATGTTTTGTATCCAAACTGCAGTGAGTTTTGGTAGCTGCACACAATAGCCAAGTCTTTGAGCGACTTTTCAGGAGCATCTACCAGAACCATCCTCCCTCAAAATCATTGGTTTCCTGTGGAATTTCCCATTAAATCAACCCAGTGAATCTCATCATGTGTGAATAAAATCCCCATTTTTCGTGGGTTAAATCCCCATGCATCATCATGTATCAGCATTTATCATCATGTACTGGTTGGTGGTTTGGAACATTTTTTGTCCCATATATTGGGAATAATCATCCCAACTGGCTAATATTTTTCAGATGGGTAGGTATACCACCAACCAGTTTATCATTGTATCATCATTTGTCAACATAACATCATTCCTTTTGATGGTGAAATGAAAACCCATCAAATCCATGAACTCCGCTTCAGACCGCTGCATTGCGAAGCCCCATGCTGCGGGAAGCGTTGTTGCCATTGGCACCCAGCGGAGTGGGCTTGAGGTCTTGGCCAAAAGGAGGGGTGAACCAAGCGTTTTAGAACAAATGTGGCTAAAGATATGCCATAAACCACCCATGACTGGGATTTTTTTAAATACAATACCACCTATGAAAATGGTGATGACTGGCGGGTGCAAATGCCCACATTACACCTATTACTTGGTGAATTGGTTTCTATCTCATATTTCAGGGTTATATCTTTGCCAGTTGAAGGAAAAAATCCTGAGCTTTCTCGAAACTGCCGGACTCCTTATATTCCTCGCTCAACCGCAGCTTTTTCTTGGTAGACTCGTTGCAGGAGCATCGGCTAAGAAATGCGGCCGCCTCCAAAGATGGCAAGACTTAAAGATGACTCCGTGAGATTTGGATGGATTGAAGATGACCATCCTCCCCAAATTGCATGTTTTGATGCTATCAATGTGTGTGATAGCTCCCAAGTTCGAACCTCTCCCTGATCTTCCACCATTTTTTTCGGATTTGCGGAGCCATGGCTGGGTATATGGATGATGATTGGCTGCCACCAAGTGAGGATGAGGAGGAGGCGCTGAGCGCTGACATTGGGATATTTGGAGAATGTTAGGATGGGCTTGTGCCACCCAGTTCTGCTCAGATCATTGGGAATGGCTTGTGATTTTTGTTTGTTATTGACCATCATTTTTTGATACAGGTCTTGTTGTTTGACCATTAAAACTCCTATCTTTTCTTGGTTCACTCCCACAGAATCCGCTCCCTCCATGAGACGACAGGAGGCTGCTGAGTGCGAGCTCCCTGACTATGGAGACGTGAACTTCTGGACGGAGGCCATTCTTCCAACGGCACTGGGTGCATCTCCTTTTCTTCGCAAGGCTGCTACTTGTCCACAGCAATCATCTACAGATGCTCTACAGATATCGTATTGTATCATACTGTATCTATATTTGTAAATGTTAGAATCTCAGACTCTCTACACATGTAAGATGGGTTAAACGATGGGTTAAACGATGGGTTAAACGATGGGTTAAACGATGGGTTAAACGGTGCAAGTGGTCAGGTCTACACGCAGCAACGGGGCCGCGAGCTCGCCCCACAGGAGCTGCGGGCGGCGATAGCGGATCCGGGTGGATGCTGCGGTGGAGTTGTCCACGGGAACTTGTGATGTTACCCTCCATTTTTTTGGGGGATTTCGAAGGGAAACAGCACAGTATGGTGATTTTAGCTGCTGAATGGGGCAGCGACCAGGATTGGAGTAGGCTTTTGGTTTTGGCTGCACCATCGTGGGAAATCCGGAGGCATTTGGCATGACCATATCATGTTTGACGAGCCATGGTGGATACACTGGGATTTGACCACTGTCCTGGTGAGGAGTGGCTGGTGTCATATGGCCACTTCTGCGCTCAAGGCGCCCGCAAAGGTGGTCGGTTCCATCGTCCAGTTTATTACATGATTCTTGAATGATTACACTCACCACATTCACGACATATTACTTGTTGAAATACTCCCACAAAGAGTGCGCTGTTTGGCTCTTTCAAACTGGTCGTCATCCTCCACTGTTTGTGCCTGGTAAAACATGACCCGTCTCCAGGCTGGCGCCGCTTCCTGCCACCGGGCGGCCGGGTGTTGGACCTGGGATGTGGCGACGCGGAAACCTGGTCGGAAATGGGAGAAAGGGTGGGGAGCTTCTCAGCCGATCCAAAGAATTTCTAAACGAGTCTGAGTTTTGAGAAATTTAACAAGTTTTTGTTCTATAGATGATGGTTTATGGGGTCTGCGAAGGAGTTGGAATCAAGATTTTGGGGCTGTGACCGGTAATGATTTGGGTGCAGGCTGTGCCCAAAAATGGTGTGAAGGTCTGTGGGTTTAAATTCTGATCCACACGCCGGTGGTGGCTCAACTTCTTTTTAGGAGACCAAGCATGCCGCACAAGGGCACAGGTGTTTGAGGGAAAAGTTGAGAAAGCGGTGAAGGTGAAGACTGTTGAGGTGACCTGTGAAGGTTGTGGTTCACAGGTTGTGGTTTCTTGCCCTTACACAGGTGTGTGCAGTTGATGTCGTTTTTCTGATTTGAAGTTGGTCTCTTGGGAAATGCTAAATCATCTTTTGTTGAAGTTCTACATGGATGCCTTGATTAATCTTGATAATATATCGTCATTTAATGGCTACTTCAACATCAGAACAGGCCTATCTTGGAGCCCAGACAGCTCCCCCTCCAAGCGCCAAGGAGTTCATGACGGAGGCCTACGATGATGGATACCACGACATCACTGGGGTAGACATCGTCGAGCCCGTCTTGGAGACGATGAGGTGGGAGCCTTGGGTGGAACAGATTGGTGACTTCTCTGCTGTTTTTCAAGGGAGGGCTTGCTGTTCCTAGCCAAACCATGGCCTTTTCCGGTGATGTTCTGCAACTATCACAGCCTGCTTGCTGTTGATGGACAGCAGGTTGAAGTCCGTTGAGTTATAGCCCAAACCTTCAGCACCTTGAGGGCCGATTCATCGGGTTGGGAAGTCCACGGGAATGGATGGTTCCCTGCAATCCAAGTGGTTGTTCATCATGATTTCGGACCCGGGGAGGTGATGATTCTGTCCTGGATAACTGCACCCCGTGCCTGGCCCCATGCGCGAGGCAACGCAACGTCGACCGGCCTGGCATGACCTATCTCTGGGCGGAGCCTCGGAACCAGAATCCCGCACCATTGGGGACCTCCATGGGTTTGATAAATTTGGGAGCTTGCCCTTAAATCCGTGTGTTGAATGACCTTTTGTGTCCACGTCACATCCAACAATCTCATACACTTTTTTGGTGTCCGGTGCCTTCCAGGTGGTTTCAATTCCATCCCCCACCACCTGGACCGCCCCGAGGACGCCATGGATCTGTCGGTCTTCGAGGACGAGTCCTTCGACGTGGTCTTCGACAAGAGCACCCTGGACGCCTTGAAATGTCGCGGGGCGGAAGCCACGAGCAGCAGCTCGGCCTGGCAGCTGGTGGCCGCTTTTTTGGGTGGGGAAGAGGTGGGACAAATTGAGGTGGTTTTTCATCACATCATTCTTGACCTGGTGATGGCTGTTTTGTCCCAAGACATGAATTCTGCATCGCCTTTGGTTCAAGCCTGTTTTTAACGCCAACCAGCCCTGGCACCTGGCCCACACCTGCAGCAGCTCCGGACAGACCTGTCCCGGGAGGAGTTGCAGGAGATCATCCTGCGCAGTCAGCGACGGCAGAGCCTCAGCGGCCACAAGGATGTCGTCACAGCCGCAGCTGCGGTGGTGCGAAAGAAATCGGAGAAGCTGGAGACAGAGATTTCGGAGGCTTCTCAGAGGGCAGCCGCAGTGAAATCCGTGGATGCTTGCTTCGTTTTGGACTGCACGCCTTCGATGAGCACCAAGATCAAGGCTGCCAAAGAGAAGATTGTCGAGATCCAGAGGCGCATTGTTGGTTCCTTGGGCCATGGAGGCAATGTCCGCTTCTCCGTGGTGGGCTACAGAGACCGTTATTATCGCACACCGTTTGAGATTCTGCCACTGACCAAAGATGTGAAGGATGTAGAGCGTTTCTTGTCCAAGCTCAACACTGAGGATAGAACTACTTCACAAAGTGACACGTGCGAAGATGTGATTGGTGGTTTGAGCCATGCAGTGGAGTTGGACTGGCAAGCGAGGACCCGGATCATCTACCTTGTTTGTGACGCTCCTCCACATGGCAAACGGTTCAAGGATCCAAATGCAGCATTGATCAGATTCCCATATCCGTATGACAATTACCCAGATGATGCAAACCAGTGGGAAACAACAGATCGGATCATGGCAAAATCTCTGGAGTTGAACCTCAACTTTGTGCTGTTGGAATATTATGCGTTCGACATCTATGATTGGTTGCTGCTTGGGAAAATGTTCCAAGTCTTCTCAGACCTGCGCAACACCTCTTCCACAGGAACTCTTCAGACACTGCACTTTCGACCGGAGAATACTGCAGATGACTTTGTGCAGTGCATTCTTTCAAGCACCAAGGAGACCCTTTCGAAGACATTGACACGACATATGTCCAACAAGTCAGGAGCACGAAGCGGATCTTCAGGATCTACGCTATCCCTTGAAGTGAAGGCAGATGTTTGTTGGAAGGATTGCAAGAATTGGCCCGTTCACCAAGTGCTGGTGACAACTGTCAATGTCATTGCAGTGACCTCAGACACAAACCCCAGCCGCTCGATCCACAGGCTCCATATTCGAAAGGAACCCTTCGCAAGCGGGAGCATGAGGTTGGGGAGTGGCAAGTGCACTTTTCTGTCTTCCAAACCCTCATCTTCAAATTGTTGGAAAGGTGACCCCAGTGTTGGATGATCCTTCCAATCTTCCATGGGGCATTTTCACAACCCTGGGAGGTATGCCTTTCCCGCCACCAGCTCTGACGGAATCACGCGCTTCGTCCTGAAGGCGTGGCAATGAAGGGATTCAAATCATAGGCACTTGGACACACATAGCCTGGTTGTGGCCGAGCTACTTGAGGATAGTTGAGTGCTTTATTTCTGATTTGTGATCATCATTATTTCTTTAGTGGTTTTATGCGTTTGGCGTTTCATTAGGTTTGTGTTTTGCCTTTGCATTCCCTGAAAGGTACACAAGGAAGCCAGCCACAGTGTCTCATCCGTGACCTTGGCAGATATGAAGACCCAAGCCTATGCCAAGATGTTTGCAGAGGAGTTTTCCCAACGATTTCCAGTGGCACCGCTCCAGTTCTTGGATGCATGGGCAATTGAGCTGCCAAGGTTCAACATTGCGAAACATGCGACGTTAGAACCATTTGTTGATGGAGTCTTCCAGAAGTACACCAGCAACAACGGTTTCATTTCCTCGGAAGCAGAACTGGCCGAAGCATTCTGTCACTTCTCTTGGTGTCACTCAGGAGGGCAAATGATGGTCACAGATCTTCAAGGCTTTGGGTCGGCCGTTTTTACGGATCCTCAGATCCATTGTGTCAAGTGCGACTTCTTCAGCCGCGGCAATCTTGGCAAGGATGGCATGGATCAATTCTTCGCTGGGCACCGCTGCAATGACATTTGCCGAAGTTTGGAGTTGAAAGAATCGCCCATCCAATTCAAACTTGATTCCGATACTCCTTCCATGGTCTCTGGCCATTCCGGCGACCTTTCATCCAGGTTTTCTTCCCATGGACCTCTTGTTTGCCAGTACTGCAGCGACTTTGTTGCACTGCGCAATCAGGAGTACCTCGACATCATGGATGAGTACCAGGCAGTGATGTGCCCTTCGTGCAAGGAGAAGGTGAAAGAGAGCCTCGCGACAACTCGATGCATGAGCTGCGAGCAGCCTTTCACGTATTCCATGTACAACGTCAGCCTCAAGGGTGCTTCAGTTCCGCCCGTGTGCCGATCATGTGAGCAGGGTGAGGTCTGGAAATTCATTGATTAAAGCTCGTACATTCCACCAAGAAGCGTGGAAGGATGCAGATCCATTGATGCAGGCAGGCCATTGGTTTGAAGGGTTGAAATCAAAGAATCCCAGTTGACTGACACTTGGGCACGGATAAAGCTTTGGAGCCTTCAATCATCAAAATATTGCTAACTTTGAAACCAGAATGATGGATCTGAGGGATGCGAAACTTAAGATGTACCGAGTTGAGGGTAGTTTTGTTTCTTCCGCATTCGCTTACGAAGGTTTTGCCTGCTCTGGCCTTGCACGTGGTCGTACATGTGTGACCAACTGCATGTGCTCCCGAACAGAAAACTGAGAGCGTGCAGTCAGTTTTACATCATTTGCCTGGACGGAGCACAACAGAAAGTTGCTCGTACTGGGCATTTTTTAAATCACGGTAGTTTTAGGTTGACCGCTACTCATGGCACCAGGACACAGGATCACAACCAGCTTGAGTAGTTTGCTTGAGGACCGATTGTTTCAATGGAATAGATTCATTCCCGCAAGATCTAAAATCCATTAAAATCCTAAAAATCGAGTCGCAGACACATGCAGACACGTGGTATTGTTGCGATTGTTTGCTCGATCCTGCAAGCTGGAAAGAAAGTTCCATCTCTTGCAAGACAAGTTGCCTTGAAGAGTCCAAAAACTTCGCTGCGCTGCTTGGTGCTGTTTTGCCAGGAGATTTAGTGAGGGCGGAGTTTGGCGATTGGGAAATCAGAATTGTAGCAACTCCATCTCAAGGGTTTGAAGTTTGAAGGAAAGTTCTTGAACTCCACTTTGCACATGTGGCTACCGGAAAGCAATTCTGGAGGGTTCCAAACTGATCGATGGCCCGTGGTCCGAGATTTCTGTCGAAGGCATGTCCTCGGAAGTGCACCGCGTCCTGCGCAGAGATGGTGTTGGGACCCTCAGCGATGCAAGTCCTCGTTGAACGGGGATGGAGAGATTTTTGTTTGGAAAAATGTAAAAATAGTAATTAGTAAACTAGTAAACTAGTAAGTTTGTAAGAGTAAGCAGTCACTAATTTGTTTTTTCAAAGGTGTTTTGTTCAAGACGTGATTGAGATGATGATTTGCAATGTCAAATCTGTTTTGGGACGGGTTGAAAGTTGAAACCATCAAATAGATAACAAACACCCCCAAATCCTGGATACAAGGATACAAGTTGGAAGGACCTGAAAGGAGCTGTTACTGGCACAGAATGGACAATTCGTTTTTGGCCCGTTTGTTCTCAGGTCTATCTTTGCATCAGTCTCAATCCACCTGAAGACGCGCAGCCAGCGATCGATGCTTGACCGAGAGTTGGATTCTGTCAATGACTCCGCAAGATGTGGGGGTGGGTCAACTGTTTTTCTGGCCCAGGAGTCCACAGCAAAAGTTGCCGTTGTCAGGATCCAAAGACCAGCCAATTTTGGTGTACCCAACTTTGGGGTACTCAACTTTGACCCAAATCCATGTGGTGAAGTTCACCTTTTAATGTACTTCCAAATGGTTCGCGGTCAACCAACTTGATGCTTTGTCGGTCTGCATTCTGTTCGTTTTCCATTGTGAAACCCAGGAAGGGACAGCTTGTGGTCGGAAATGGGACGTGGAGGTCATGGTGTGTGAGAACGAGCCACTTGGCATGAGCAAATGGTGTTCTTTTCATGGGAGCTCTTACATTCAAAAAAATGTGACCCATCTAACGTGGATCTTGTTTCTGAATTGGGGTTTCAGCTTCAAAATTCAGCCTTCTAAACTCTAGATTTCCAAGAAACTGCACGATTACATGGTAAACTCCACGCACGAAGTTTTAGCCTGGCTGAGGAATTATGATGGCGCTGATGGCCCGCCCAAGCATCTCTACATGTTGCCACACCTTTTGCTTGGCAACATTTTGTTGATTGCAATTTGACAATTCAAGTGGCCGGCTTGGAATACCCTTAAGCAGGCAGGCTGGTTTGGCCCACGGTGCTCATTGAATCTCAGGAATTACATGGTCCCTCTTCCCACCACAGAGCACCCATTTCTTCTTGACCTGTTAGACTGCACCATGGTCAGTGCAAGCCACACCCTCCGAAGGTACGTTTCAAGGAAACGACCATGATGATGCAGACATCAAGAGAACGGCGGCTATGTCAATGATATTAAATCCTGGCTGCAGGAAGATTTCCTCCAAACGACTTCGAAGACAGCAACCAACTGGATGTGGCCTGCAATGGGTTCCAAACAGCCTCCTGAAGTATCACCTGGTCTGCCTGAATATTTCTGCTGATGTTTGCAAACATTGCGACTTGGAAGAATTGTTTGATGTAAGGTGGTCACCCCCAAACCAAAGGCATTGGCGCACAACTTCAACCTCGTCGTCGCTTCACCCAAAGTTGCACCCTTTGCAAGCAACTTCTCAACAGAGTTTCATTGGTATTTGTGACACAGTGCTGGATGGTCCATTTTGCGAAGCATTGAATTTGCACCGAATCTGTTTCGTTCAACGAAATAAGCTGTGTGGTGGGTAAATGTTTCGAGCAAACCCTTTGAACCTGACACACATTCCCCAGCCCTGGTCTGCCTAGTGTGGTTCACCAATGAAAGCCGAGGACAAGAAACCATAGAACTTCGGATCGATGTGCACGGCTTGCGGAAATGTCATCACCTAAAGCTGCGGACAATGAAGGCTGGGGCTGTCGACAAAGCATTCATCACCAAACTGTGCATCATGAGAATTGCAGACTGTTGCAGTGAATCAGTTTCGGGTGGATGAAAGTATGTTTGTATCTTGCCACCACCCCTCCAAACGGATGGACAGGGCTTGAACCCCACTTTTTGACCCCAACCTTCTGTAACAACTTGTCAACAGGAACTCAACTTCGTAAGCCCAATCACAACTCCGCCCTTTTAAGGTCTTTAAACCACCGAATGAGGTATGACTCACTTGTCGTTCTAGGTTCACCTGCTCTCCAAGGCCTTCCCGGAAGGATCACTGAAGCGACGCTGCCGAAAAAGTGATGGGAAGTTTGACCAGCCATCCCATCCAGAAGTGCTAGTCCATACTGCAGGGGCTTATGACAGCACTATAGATGGACCGATGGACCCATAAAATATGGTGAGGCCACTGTTTGAAACCCTTCTCCGAAAAAGACGTGATACATGAATGCCATAGCGAGGCCCGGAGTGCTTGGCCCGGGCGCCCAGAAGCTTCGGATGTGCGTCTTCGTTGCTTTCTACTCACCCTACTCACCTTCAGGCCAAGATCTGCAGATCTGAGAACCTGAAAATTCCCACATCAGGTCCAGGTTTTCCCCTTTTTCAGCAAGCTTCCTTCCGTCGAAAACAGCCCGGAAATAGCTGGTATGTTGGGGTGCCACGGTGCCACTTCCCTATCGATTGGGGATTTCTACATCACGGAGTCTGGATCCCTGGTCAAGCACTTCTGCACCCAAGGCGTGGATGACGCCACAGAGGTTCTGAGGCGCAAAATTGAAACTCGACCGGCAGGAATTCAGCAAACTGCCCATTTTTGACACTATTCTGGTACCCCCAACAGATTTAGATTGCCATTTTGGTGCATTTTCCGCTGCTCAGAACACCACCATAGGGTCACCATGTGGCAGCCTTCCCGCCAGACACGCTCTGCCGGATGGTGGCTTGACATCCGCAGGGATGCCTAGCCATGCACGAAGCGGCAGGTTTGAGAATTGGGGACATCACTTTATGAACATGTGACAAGTCATGTGGGTTGTTTTATTGGGGATGCATCAAAAGACAATTTTGTGGGGATACGTTGTGGATATAGTGGGACATAGCCAGCAGTATTATTTGTCTGGGAAGCCTAAAATCTGCTTGACCTGGAAACATTCAAGATGTCGGGTTCTCGGACAAAAGTGCACCAGCCTCTTTGCTCGCTGTATTTGCACTGGAAGACCTCCCAGCCCCTTCCCTCCTTTGAGGCACACGAGTTCTTGGCCCGGGTGCCTGATATTCACAGCCAGTGGATGTGACAGGTCAACGAGTTGCTCTGTGGAATCCCCCCCGCGTGTTGGTGGACTATTGGATATTCTGCAAAGAAAGACCGGTCCAACAAAAAGCAGAGATCAAAAGGACACAGATTTTATGTTTTGAAGACATCGCTTCTCAAAGGTTTCCTTGGCTGTGCGGCAGATCGTGGCGGAAGCAAAGCAGCTGAAGACACGACAGTCTGGGTGGCCCAGCGGGACACTGCCAAGTGACGGAAAGAGCTGGTGACAGAATTGGGTCGTGACTGAGATCATCATCACCATCATCACCATCATCAGGATGAGAAGAAATAGAAACACAGAACAAACCAATGGGTTCCAATAGGTAAGAAGGATCAACAACAGGAGATACAGTAATAGATCAATTCTGTATTAGACTAAATAGATACAAAACCATCATAAACAATCAATCTACATAGATTTTCTGAATGAAAAAGTGAAACACCGAGGATTGGAGCGGCTCTCCGTGGAGTGCGTGCCTTGCAGGTGGAGCTGGTGCTTGGATGCTCCAAGATGTCTAGTTTGCGGGCCCACAAACTTGAGGTCTTACTAGTCTTACTAGTCTTACTCCTCAAAGTCATTGCTGATTTGAGGCACAATTCATGATACACATGTAGGTTGGGTTCGAGTTCAACCTGATCAAACATGTCCCTCTGGACACCTTGCTAGCAGCAGTGTCCACCGGCAAGGCATCCGGGCATTCGTTCGCTTTGAAAGAGGCTTGGGTTCGGACTGGTTGATTCGTGAAGAAAACCTGTTGGAGGCAACCGTTTCTTCTGAATCATCATTCTAGGATGCCATCGGAGTGAATTAGCCAAACCAAGCCAAGATTGTTGGAAGCTCAAATAGCCTTGTGAGATCATGTTCAATGCTACTACTTACTATGGGGATGCTAAAATGCAGACAAAGCAATCCAAATGGCTGGTTGGAGCAGATAAGATCTACAGTCAAAAGGCCAAGAATGAAGAGTGACACCTAACGCTTGATGCAGGCATCAAAGGTTCTGCAGGCCTTATGGCCACGAGTCGACAACTCAGCAGGGCATCCGTTCCAGCTGCATCGTGGCGCACAGCAGCATAGCCACCCAGTACCATTGGCCACACGATCCGACTGTTGTTTGGAAAACCATTCATCTTTTCAGGGTCATGGCTTAAGTCAGTTTGGGCGAATTACAACCACTCACAACTAAGGTTGAACTACCCCCCAATGTTGGTCAACGTTTCAGAGTTGTCACAAAAATGACAATTTTTCCAAATCAGTTCATTCACGATAGCTTCCCACCACAGAAAACCACCTTGTCCACCATTGACCACAGTTCTCCCCTCATGGAGAATGGTTAATCATTGACACAACCGCCATGTTTGGTGGATACTAAATATCAAATAGAAATCGTTCACCATGAATCCACTAAATAGTGGTTAATATCCCAATCACCAATGGCATAAAAAAACACACATTCTGGGAGCATGTCTAGATGGTCATGGTCCATTTTTACATGAAATACGTTGGAAATACATCCCCATCCAACGTTGGAAAAGTCAGCCTTCGAGGTCCCGAAAAACCTGGACTACTTTGGTCCCAGCGAGCTGGCGGCTGGGGGCACCTGGGGAGGGTACCGTTGAAAGATGGGGATGGGCCAAAGGCTACGGTGGGAAAATGGGGATTCGTTGACCAAGTGGAAATTGGGAGGAAATTAGCCAGAAAATGGAGATTGGGATTAGTTTGGCAAATCAAGAAGATTCAATCGGATTTGCATGAAAACTAGCTGTAAAAATGTGAAATAAGCACAGCGTCAAAAATGAGGAGTGGAGATTTTGAAAAACCTGGGAGTTCCTCCCCAACTTTTAATGCTTGAAGGTCTTGAGGCTCAAAGAACATTTGTCATGTTTGGAAGATACTGTGCATCTTGGAGGATTCTTTCAATCTTGTCAAGGGTTTGCAAGATACACGAAGATATTCTTGTGGTTGATCGTAATTTTCCCAATCAAAATGGCCAATATGTGGCGGTATTCCACCCATTTCACATTTCAGCCGGCGCCTGGATGATTTGCGCGATGGAGTGACGAGTGGCCATTCAGTGCTGGGGCATGACTTCCAGACCCTTCAGGCAGGGAATCCCATGTTGGCTTGACATAGACTCGTAATTGGGTAGGTGCCAGGATTTCTGCCTTGTCAACAAGCTTCTACTGAGGATCACCGATACTGGCTAAATGGGACTTTGTACGGGACCGTTCCATATGTGAAAGGCTTGGTTGACGGTTTTCATTGGCTGCCTCATCATTTGGAAATGTAGAGTGTATACAACCAGAATCTTTAACCTGCATCTCATTCATAGATTGCCTCACTATATTTCTGGGGTCCAAAGAATGGCTTTGAGCAAATCATGGTTGCTACATCAGCATTTTGCAATTTAAAGCAGTGAAATTTCACGTGGGCCCCAAAAATAACCCCATGTTTCCACGAGTTGATTGCTAAATTTCAATCCGGGACCTCAATTCCATGCCACATCGGATGACAGGCAGCTGTGCATCGTGGGTGCCGGCCCTGCTGGACTGCAGCCGCTGGGATTCACCCAACTGCCCTGAGATTTAAAGTCCCCGAATTCTTGGGGTCCAAATTGTGGGAAATCCTCGCGCAATTCTCCAGCGCTCGGAGGCAAAGATGATCGATCCCTGGCTGAGCTGTTGAAATTCAGCTTGGGCCAACAGATTTCCCAGGTGTGTTTCAATTGATTACTTCTGGTGGGTTGTTCCTGGGATCAGTGGGAATTGAGCTCGATCTGAGGCTGGGTCACTTCCTGTCCAAGGACCAGATGTCTTGGGACAGAGGATAGGCACATGGTGGTGGTAGACGCTGCCCAAAACGGGGCATGATACAACCATAGTACCCATCGAAAGTATGCTAATCATCAAGTTATGGCCCCCCAAAGCTGCCAGGGTTAAAACATAGAAATTCAGCAATTGGAGTTGTGGCCCCAGCATTTGAAGGGTGCTCCGGGATGGATGGGACCTGCGCTCTTCAGGACACATCGCAGCTGCAGGATTTTGTGCCTTGGCCTTCTCTTTGGCTGAAAAAGCACCTTTCTTCCAGAGGGCAGAGGAATGGTTTGACTCTCATACAGCACTACTTCCGTGCAGAATTTGGACCGTCAACAAAGGTGATCTTCGAGCAGAGCAGCTCCGCAGGAAGTTTCTTTCGGCGTTTTCCGGTGCATCGCATGCTGATCAGCGGCTTGGCTGACGGTGTCAGCACCTGGTTAGATGCGCCGGGAAATCGGGTGGATATTGCATTATAGTAACCAGCAGATTGGAAATTGAAATTGGACCATTCAGAAATGGTGGTAAAAAGCGCCAGCAAAATAAGAATTTAAGCAACAACAAGGGAAATAACTGATACGAGTTTGCCAAAAAACAGAGAATTCCGCCCCAATAATGGCCACTTAGAAGGGAAAAATCATGATAATCCGATAGTCCGTTGAAATTTGGGGGTACCCTATTTCCAGAGAAACCCAAATCAACCAACTGTGAAACTGAAAAAGAAAATCCTACTTTGCCACTAGCCACTGATCATGTCGCCATCCTTTTGGGTATAGAACCTCCCTTGACTGGAACTTCCCTCTCTGAAAATCAACACAGAACCCCCAGCCATGGGATTGGAATATGATTCTTGTGCTGGAAACGGCCGGATTTTGTGTTCCAAGATGCAAGGCCTCAACAAGCGCCACACGCGCAGCACTTCGCCGGAGTTTCGCATGCGACATGACTGGAACTCGCTGTTGGGCACAGGCCGGAGCTTGAAACCACCAGCCAGTGTAGCAATGAAGGGAACATGTGCAACCATTTCAATGTTGAGAGATTGTTAGGAGTACAGTGTGTCTAGGATTTGGTTCAGATGGTCAAGACCCTACCCCAGATGATCCTGGATCCTGGGTGCATCTACAGTAATCTGTGCAGCTTCTATTTGGGGAAAGATCTGGTTCCATCCAAAAGTTGGTCAAACTTTGGTGAGGAAGCTTGAGTGAACCTTTGATAATCCAACTGCCAATCCCGGAACTGGCAAGTCCCTCATTCGTTTCGAATTTTTCCCCATTGGAACCGTTGCCTCTGGCCGCACAGCTGCCGCAGATACTCTGGGCATAGCTCCCATGACGGCCACTGGGCGTAAGATTGAATGGAATGGACATGTTTTGGTGCCGCATTGGCAATGGGGTTTGCTACACTGCTCGCAGAATTTCTACAAAACCATCCGGGATGGTGAATCCCAGTGGTGTACTCAATGACATAGCCAATGACCTGAGCCACAGTTTTCACCAATTCAGAACCGGTATGGGTTGGCAGCCAAGGCCAGGACCAGGGAACTGTACCCGCAGGCAGATGTCTTGGCGAAGTACTCCGGGGGTTGTTGAGATCATCCCATGGTTTCTCAACAGGATCAGTCTGATCAGTGACCCAAAAAGTGCTGTTCACAACAACTACCGTAGTGAACGCCTGCACATTTCAGAGGTACCTTGAAGACTATGCCCAGCATTTGTTGCAGTACATCGAGTTCAACGTCCAGGCGGGAAATGGCTGCCACTGAGATAGTCACCTCACGGAGAAGCTCTAAGGATGCCAACAATTGATATGAGATGCTGAATGTATTGATGGCATTATCAACCCACTAGTTCGGGATGGAGATCCAGGTTTCTTTGCTAAGATGGCCATATCCCCAAACTTGAAAGAAAACCGCCCCCAACTTTGCGCTGAAACCGTTGACAGAAGCTGCTACCTGGTAGGTGTTACGCCTCTCCCGAAAAAATGGCGAGTTCCATCTGGACCGCGGGGCCGGGCTGGTGGATGAGTGGAGCAACTAGGAACACCCGCAAAGCAGTTTAGGGGCGGAGGTTGCCTAAACCTTGGTGAATGATAGGTTATACGATGGATTTCATTTTGATTAGCTGGACGAATATGGCCACTGGATCAACTGGCTCATTTGTTCCCTTTGTTGCGTATTTGGGATTGTGCGCCAGGTTTGGACGTATCCCTATTTGTTTAGCTGTTTTGGAAACCTTTTCTGCTGATTAGTCACTAGCACTAGAATTCACCTATGGGCGCAATCCACTTTGGAACCCAGTTCTACTTTTTCCTGTTCTCACCCTTGTTTCCATTTTACAATCAAACATAGCTATGGAAAATGAGCCAGTTGGAAATGATTCACCTATAACAAATAGCCATGTTCGATGGTTTAAAAGGGAACAAATTGCCATGGTAATTGAACATAGCTATTGAAAATGGCCATTTATAGTTCATTTACCTATCAAAAATGATGGTTTTCCATGGCTCTGTTGGACCAGAGGGTATCCCTGCCACAGATCCCCAGGAGCTCCGCCCTGCCGACGGCGCATCGACGCAGCGCTGCGGCCGGGTGGTGCTGGCGCAGGGCTTGCGACCGCATCGACCCCAGGCCCCGGGGTGGGGATGGGAAGGAAAAACCCAGAGTGGTGGATTTTAGTGAGTTTCTATGTGATGGAAATCCACTTTGGAGTCACAAATACCACCATGGAAATCAGGGGGGATGCACCCAAAACGTCCAGGGCTTCGTTGGTGCCGAGCTCTTGACGGGCTATGAGGACCTGGACTCCAGCGATGCCTATGAGAACCGTGGCGAAGGGGGGTTGAAGGGATGAGGGGCCAACAACTGCAACCCTGACATGAAAAACATGAGAAAAATGGAGGAAACCGTTCCATTTTCCTGGATCATTGTTTGATTGTTTCTTCCTAACAGGTTTTCGTTGCAGCCATATGCAGCCATGTTCAAATGGATTTCAAGCAATTGTTCAAAACATGTGAGGAAAACGACTTTACATTTTATTTTGGTTGGGGGTACTTGTTGATTGTCGCATGCTTTTGTTGGAGGGTTAATCCGTAATGTTATGTAATGTTCATGGGTTATATCCCCATTAACGCAGTTTTTATTGCTGTTTTTAGTATCCTATTTGTTGAGACTTATTTGCTGAGTGTTGATAAATCATACCTTCAACTTTCATAAGTGTTGGTTCTACCCCCATTTTTGCAGGTTTTCACACTGATGATACTGGTTATACCGTAGTTTTTCCATGTTCTTCTATGGATTATATACACATCTTCTCAAGTTGTTCCGTTCCCAGGAACCGTTCGGTGCTGGTTTGGGGCTTCGGCAACGCGGCGCACGAGACGGCGCGGGAGATGCAAAAATTTACCCAGGACAGATGGTCGATAGGGTGTCATTTGTGTGGATCAATGGATTGGTTTAAGGGAAAAATTACAGTAAAAACCCTCATATTTAATGGGAAAATCGATGGTTTCCGGTTAAGATGTTCCCTGAAAAACCAATCCATTGATTGATGCATCATGGTGAGAAATGGCATGTGCAGCGTATCCACCTGGTGTAACATGATGAAGTTTGTGAAGGAAGTCATGTTTCGAGTCCAATTTTTGTTGGGGTAATGGTGTTGAGGAAGCTGTGAAAAAGATTGTGGCAAATATCCATTTTCAACGGAATATCAATTTCTTTGGTCAATGGGGACCAATTAGCGTATCTTAACCAGTAGGACCCAGCCATTATCGCAATACGGAGGGTATCTGGAAATAATTCAGTATGGGATAGCCCAACCATATGAGTACATCTATTGACCCCTGCTAGACTTAAGATATATTCAGATCATATCCACCAGGCTATTCTTGAGATCCTTGAGATCCTTGGGTTTTCCCATCGCCAGGACATCACGCTGCTGCACCGCACCAGCCGCGCCGGCGAAGTCTTCGCCGGCTCCGGGGCCTCCGGGGGCTCCGGCTCCGGGCTGCCGCGCTTCGCCTTCTTCACCCATTACCCCGGCGACGTGAGGAAAATGGACACTGAAATCCTGCTATGCTTGGAACTTTACTATGGAACTTCACTGGTTCAACATGGTTCAACATGCTTCAACCTCTATGATGGAAGATGTCCGCACTTTGGCTGTGAGACTGCTGTTTGCACTATACTGGTATTGCTGAAAATGCTGGCGAGTGGCCAGATTTGGATCAGGACAGTCACAATGCAAATCTACGACTCCTATCTGCTGAAGGCTTTAGATGTGAAGTTGCCATACTCCGAGGACAGCAGCACTTGGTCAGTTGGTCACTGTGATGCCGATGTCGCCATTGCCATGGAGGATGAGGAGCCCGTCTTTCTTCCCTGCGGCAACCAGATTTGCGTCTGGGTCTCCAAGAGCAATCGCTGTGCGGGCGCAGGCCTGGGTGGGCACCTTGCAATGCTTGTTGTAGACGTAGTCGTCTCTCCATAGACATGTGAGGGACAGACTTCCTATTCATGGCTTTACAGGTGGGGTTGTCTGAAAATTGGATGCTTGATCATCACTTTCCCCATCATTCAATTCGCCGTGTATCGTGGGATGAATCCCCCATTTTTAGGACAAACCCACATGTTATATCCGCAAATCTGTCCCAAGATATCCCACAGTTCCCATCATAATTGGAATAGATTGCTGCTAAATCCCTCATTTCTCAGATTGGTTGCTCTCACTGTCGCAAACTGCCAGGTGTCAATGGGCAGATCCTGCCCATGCGCTGGGTGGGCGCCGAGCAGCCCCGCGAATGCGTGGTGGAGGCATCTGAGGGTCGGCAGGGACGGTGGCAGTTTCCATAGGTTTCCAAGGCGAACACTGCCACTGTGTCAGGTGGGGCCTTTGCCATCGCGGGAAGAGCGGCAACTCCGGAGGCAGAGGGTCTGGAAGGATGATGAAGGATGGTATATCATCCAGTCTGGTGATCTATTTATCATTGATACATTGGTACTGTTGGGTGATATTTGCACTGCATGGTCATGGGTCAAATGATTGGGGTACCATTCTGGATGCAATTTGTTGGGAGGTAGAATAATTTTGATCCGCGCCCCAATCAGAAACCATATTCAACTTGATCAGCCAAGTTAGATGCTTCTTTCCCAACAAGACAATACATGACAATACTGTACCCTGAAAGTCAAAACACCTCATTCTACCCATCATAGTAAATGATACTTAATCCACATTAATCCACATTAATCCACAATAAACCCACGTTTTTCAACTGAGTCACGGGGCTTTTCTGGGCCGCAGGCGCTTGGCGACAGCCACGGAGGGCCAGGACTTCCAGTGGCGCGGCGATGTGCTGCGCTCTGCCCGGGCCAATGAGGCGCTGATTGCTATGGTCATATCGCATCCGCATCATCATCATCATCATCACCACCACCACCACCATCATCATCACCACCACCACCACCATCGTCGTCGTCGTCGTCGTCATCGTCATCATCATCATCGTCGTCGTCGTCGTCGTCGTCATCATCATCATCATCATGATCATAATCGTCATCATCATCATCATCATCATCATCATCGTCATCATCATCATCATCATGATGATGTTCATCATCATCATCATCATCATGATGATGTTCATCATCATCATCATCATCATCATCATAATCATAATCATAATCATATGCTTCTAACAGGAATCAGTCATCAAAAGATGGATAATCATGGATAATCAAGGATCATCTCTATTTACAGTTGATATATGTTATCCATGATTATCCATGATATATGTTATGTATTTATAGTAACTATCATGGGATAACCATGGATATCCCATCTGTTTATATACCCCCAGTTCGGGTCTTGCTAGGCCTTACTGGAGCGGCTCCGTGTCCTGGGATTCGGAAGCCTGGAGGAGTATCAGATGCTTCGTGAGCGCTGGGGCGCCTGAGAAATGGCATTGATAGCAGCCCCAGAGAGGCCGAAAGGTTGGGTAAAACTGAACATATGGGTAAAATATGGTAAAATAATCCTGGAAATGATGGTTTCTATCCTTTTTTGAAGGTTACAATCCATGTCAATGTGAACTGATATGATTCGGGTGGGTGTCATGGCGTTGACCGGTTCTGAGGTGAAGGCCTCGCATTGCCCAGTGCCATGGAGAACTGGCACAGGGCCAAGCGTTTGGAGGTGTGGCACCGGTTGGTTGATTGGGTTGACTGAGTTGATGCTTAGTTGGTTGGTTGGCTCATTAGAAGTGCTTCTAATCCCTGGTTTTATGGCCAAACTTAATCCATAGGATTTTTCAAAGAGGGGTCATTGCAATCGAAGACTTGGGAGGTCTCAACAGCCTTCCTACAGCGAGACCCAGCACTTCTGCAACTGCTGGCCAGGTGGGGACCGGCTTTGCCATGGCTCGTATGCATCAAAAAATTGGTTCACTCAGCACAATAATATACCCCCGAAATTGATGAATCCCCATCAATATTCCACACTTCTTGATGGTTAACTCCACGTTTAAACCTATGTCAAATGGTTAAATCACCCAATTTTCATGCTTTGATCCTCAATTTTAGCTAGTATTTATAGCATTTGATGGTGACAAGTCACTTTTGATGAGGTAAATACCGCCATTTTGATCATCCCTTGATGCTACACCCATCCCCTACCCATGTCTTCCGGCAGGTTACGACCCCGCCTGGGCACCGAACCCTTGCGTCATCCCGTGGACCTGGCTGTGCGCTGCTTGGGCTGGCGCGCCAGGCTGGTGGAGGGCAGCAACGCCACAGGCGGGGTTTTGGGGGTTTGAGGATGGGAAATTGGAGGTTTCAACATGCTTCAACCATGAAAAATGTTGGAGGTTTGGGCATTGTTCATTGTTGAAAAATTGGAGGGTTTAGCATCAAATCTTGGTTTTACCATGATGTTTCAATATGGGAAATTGGTGTTTTTACTATCAAACAATTGCAGAAGTGACTCAGGTTTCGTTTTGGTGTTTGAAGCCCAAGATTTTTTGAGATCTTCCCAGAGCTGCCGGAGGCAAATACCCCAAGATCGATGTCTCCTACCAGTCACTGGAGCTGCCCGGCCTTTACTTTGCAGGTGCTGCAGCACATGGACGGGACTACCGCCGTTCCGCCGGTGGCTTTATCCATGGCTTCAGGTGGGGCCATGACATTTCCAAGATGGCGGATGGTCATTTTGTGGGTTTCTTTGTCGCACGATATTGACAAAGGGAATGAAACCTCACAGATCCTTGGGCCTTGAACCCTTGCGTTTTTCGTGGGCACATTGGATATGCCTCGATTGTGATACTTGGAAACTGGTTGGGTTTAAAAAAAGGGGTCATCAATCATTTGGGTCTGTTCTGCAAACGAAATGTCTGCAGGTACACTGCACGAGCTCTGTACCGAATCCTTCGGCAACCTTTCGCTGGCTGGCCGAACCAAAGTTTTACCGGTGCTCAATGGAAGCAGCAGGCATCTGTCAAGAATTGACAAGAATGAATCATCAACCTGACGATGTTCATCAAAGAAGTCTTGGACTTGTTTTCATGGTGCTTTTCTTTATTCCTTTTGTCAACTCCTTCTGCGGGCGGCTGGTCAGGTGTTGCGACGAATCAATGAAGCTGCAGGTGCTTATTTGAGTGCGAATAGTAGGGAGGGTTAGAGATGGGGATGGGCATGGGTTGTCTCATAGTGTTCTTTTCATATGGCATGATGTTCAATCGCTGAAGAATTGCTTGCTTCTCCCTTCCATGGCTGAAGAAATCCAATGCCAAGCAGCGTGTTTAGAGATCTCCAAAGCAATATAGTACCTTTCACGGCCTCTGTTCAGATGCCTCTCCTGGCAGGTCCCTACCAGATGTTTGGCGAACTGGTGGATGTCGTTCTCTTCTCAGCTGGTGAATTGTTGTACTTAGAAGAGCTCCCTGTGGCCTATGCCCAGCAACACTGGAGGGACCAACCGCGCGGCTTGGCAGTTTGGGAATCAACTTTTAGGGTATCCCACTGAAGATCCCTCCTTTGCTAGTGGCTGCATCCCAGGCATGGTGGATGTGACTAAGAACTAAGAAGTATCAAGCCAGTTATGGAAGATCCTCATTTTTACGATGTGTTTTTAACAAATGCCTTTAAAGATGTATATTTATATGAATATATTTTTCCAGAAACCACTTATGATCTAGTTTTTTCAATTTTTTTCAATGCTTTCTTAAAGGATACCACATCCACAATGGGAGGGCTGCAGCTGAGCTTCGTCTACGGCCGCCGCTTCAGCGCCGTGGATCTGCCGAGTCCTGGGGCCGTGGGTCTCTCGTCATTTGCTGATGGTTGTCTGATTTCACCGAAAATGGAAATGATAATCCCAGTGTGATACAACGAAAATGGATTGGAAAAATTCTAATGGATTGGAAAAAAAAAACATGTACAATGAAAATTATGAATGCATCACAAAATAGAGGTATCACAATGAGGATTTGTTTAGGGATTCACCATTGTAATTTGTTTGGTTTGTTTGAAGATAGGGTATCTCTAAATCCGTTTGTCTCATAATTATCCCTCTGACAATGCCCATTTTTTGGCTCTTTGTTCAGCCATTTTCAGACACATCCATTTTTTGGGGGGTTTAATGTAGTTCGTGATTTGCCTAATATTTTCTGTGGATACCATGGTTATAGTTATTTTTTTATTTGGCTAATGTTTATACTTACCTAATATGCATATTGGGAAATTCCCAACCAATTGGAAATCCCATTAAAATGGGGAGCAGTATTGGGCTATAGTTACCCAATTTTTGGAGTTGCCCAATATTTGTAGTTACCTAAGGTTCATGCGGGTATCCGGGATACCATAGTCCAGTTACCGAATATTTATTGAGGATACCACAATCCATCGCTGGTGTTTTTGAACGAAAGACTCCAATACAGTAGTCGACAAAAGGAGAAACGAAATACAAATGTGTATAGATTGTTTGACAATCACCAAAAAAAGCAGTTGCTTGATATGGGTATGGATCAATACCTATTAATACCATTTTTAGGGGAATGAACATCCATTTACCAGCTATTTTGATGTGAACAGAAGGGGTACAAGGGTTTTGACACACTGCCATATCTGTTTTTTTGGTCCTCGAAGTTCACCCATGTTTTTTTCCCATGGAAGGTCCCGAGCTGGGCGAACTCTCGGCGTTTCTGCATCCGCGGCTCGAGTTCTTTGGCCCCTGTGGAGGTGCGACCCATGGGAGGTCATGAGCCAAAAAAAGATGGTAACCTGCTGTAAACATAGAAAAATGTGTGGCAAAACCATCATGAATAGATCATGTTCCTTCATTTTCCACACTAGAAACCATATAAATTCATAGATTTTCCAGCATCTATGTTAGTTTACCCCATGGTATCAATGGTATTCATCCAGCAATCTCACCTGGCAATGGGAGTAGTATCTGGAAGTTTCCTATTGAGTCCGAATTTTGATCCAGCTATAGTAAGTGATGTTTCCCGTGAAAAAGGTTGGGAAGGGTAACAAAGATGTACCCGAAAATATCGATTTTGTATGAGTTTGTCATCCTATTTTTATCCATCTAGAGTTGACATTAGTTAATATATCCTATATATATATATATTCCATTGTAGACAGTCAATATCCCCATTGATATCCATTGGTATGCCCATGTTCGTATCCCGTTCTTGATGGGTACCTATCCCATTCTTGATGGGTACCTATCCCATTCTTGATGGGTACCCCCATCAGTAAATAACCATTTTGTTAGTTATTTCCATTTTTGATGGTCAATATCCGTATTAATATCGACTATATCCCTGCTATATTGAGGTAAATCCCTACTAATATCCCAAATGATTGGCGGTTTACGATTTTCCTCTTGATTGATGGCTTTCTGATGGTCAAATTCCCCATTTTTGACTATGAACCAAATATGGAACATCTATCCATCTATTGATATATATATATATATATCCATTGAATCCCAATTTATTGATGGCATCCATCCGTATCCCATGTGACAAATCGCGGCAGATTATGGGCACTGCGCGCCCAACCTGTCGCATGCGCTGGTGGAAGACGTCTACACCGATTGGCGCTCCATGCTGGGACATGTGGATCCACTCTTCCATTTTCTGGAGGCCCAAGTATTTGGGTCGATGGGGTATGTGGGTATACATAGGTGTATTTGGTGACGATACCAACCAGAAATGGGAATAGTTACAATGGGGATATTTTTTCGGTGTAGAATTGGGATTCAACCGCATTTATTGGTGTTAATCCCAGTATTTTGCCGTTTACTGCAGAAAAGGATGATAAACCACGGCATTTTTCATGGGGTCCCAAGCTTTAAGAAACACTCCAAGACATGGTCCCAAGGCTGCTGAAAACCATGTCAGGTCTGTGCTCAAAGGGCATCTCAGTGGCTACGAGGTTGAAAGTGGCACAGGTGACTTGAAGAAAAATCACCAAGTTTTGATGGTTTTTGCATGTTTTTGCAGGGTTCCTGGGGAGTTCAACTGCTGCGGATTTGTTTTTTCATGATGAAGTCCATTCAGTGGTTTTTTTTCATTACAGTCAGAATCCATTGGGCACTTGCCGATACTAGTGGCGGGCTATCAGATGTTGCGGCCTGCATGCTGTGCGCTATTTTTTGTTGAGGGATTGATATCGGTTTGCATTGTCTTGCTACTTTCTTTCATGTCCCGTGCATAGTCCGTGCAGATAAATCCTGCTTGTGGTGCTCCATAGCATGAGATTCTAGGCATTTTGCTGGGTTGAAAGTCCTGCAGTACCTGAACCTATCTTTTGCAGTTTCAGTTCCACACAGTAGCATGGTTCTGCTGCAAGTTGCAACGTCCCAGGTCAGCATCAAAGATCTCCAAGGGGAAATGGAAGCGTAGCTGTGCAGCAAGCTGGACTCGCACAATTATCAAAGATGAAGGTGAAAAGGTGATGGTCTTTGGATTTTTTTGGATCATTCTGTGACAGGTTTTTTTTTTGAGGACCGAGTGCGTCTTCAAAATGTACCTGTCACAGAGTGATCCAACAAAATCCAAAGACCATCACCAAGTGGCAGAATTTTTGCCTTGATGCAGTGATGCCGAATGAAATGCCAAATAAAATGCCGATTGTGTCACTGGCATTCCAGCTATGGATGAATGTGTTGCTCTTGAAATGTGGCTCGGTGAGGTTCGCAAACGAACTTTCACCTGGCTGTAGTCTCATCCTCCAAGTTTAACATCTTGGGATGTCAGCATATGGCAAGCCAAAATGAGGAATGTACGAAATCATGTATTCTTGGGGGAGTCACAATTTTCAGCCAAACAAGAGATCAACGAGTCAATACCGCGCGTTCCCAAACACGTGTGCTGACTTTCTCGGTGTGGGTGAAAGGTGCAAGCCCAGAGGACAAGGGAAGGACAAAGATCATGAAGATCCAAGATCCCAACGCGGCTTTGAATTTGACAGCACTAGGAGTGCAGGGGGAAATTGAGATCCTGTGTCTTTGCTGCCACACCATCAGGGACTTGAATGGCAGCAAAGTGTCACGACATGGCCACGAAAATCCTGCTACCAGGGAAGGCACAGACTCGAAGATCCATAAAGATCCTATAGTCTACAGACAAACTATGCAAGATCAGCTGCAGCATTGTTCAGGAACATCAAGCGCCGGAGGCATGACCTCCAGAAAGGACAGCTGCCGCTGGGATCAGCTGGAGCTGTGAATCCACCGACCCGGTCACATTGCAAGCGCAGGTGGATACGTGCTGAGAAGGGCCACAACCTAGGTCGCAAATGTGTTTGAGGTCGCGATGCCATATCAAGTGGTTGGACGTTGCAATTTTGGCCACATAATTTGAGACAAAAACGGAGTGTCTCAAGTGAACTTGCCCTGAATGTTGGCGGAAAAAGTGATTGCCTCGAGACAGAATCCACCAGGTATGCGGCTTTCCAACCCCGGTTTTCCTCTGGAAACTGATCGTTCCATCAAATTGTGCCATTTGCGCATGTTGCCCGATGTTGCCTTGATTGTCTGAGACCGTGTAGTTTTGCGAGTTTTTTTTTCTGGGAGCTTTAGACATGAAACATGATAGGTCGTAGCGATAGGTGGATGGACTGAAATCGCAACTTGGAAAGATGCAACTTGAATATGCAAAAAAGAGCATAAACCATGCTGATTGTCATCCCCAAACCAACGTCAATATATTTGGGAGACTCAAACCTGTACGTGCTTTTTGGTTTGCTGAGGATGTGTTGTGCGTTTACTGGTGGCAGCTCTTGTACAGCAACCAGGAGACTACCTGTTGGGTTCCCCTAAGAAACAATTGAACCAAGCCTTGAACATGGGCTGATTTCCAAGCCTTTCAGTTGTGCCCTTCACTTTGGCGCAGGAGATGGCAACACAGGAGATGGCCATGGCCCAGCCGCTGCCCGGTCCCGTAGTGCGGGTTTTGCCTTATTTGTGTTTGGGCGTATGCCTGCATGCGAATGAGCGTCTGTTGACGCTCGCGATTTTCAAGATATTTATGTCGGATCCTCCTTTTCAGTGGATTTTTGTTGTCAAGTCGTTTACCTCTCCGGTCTTTGCCACACTAGTCACCCCAAGGCCAGCACTGCGAGGGGACAAGGCCATGCCATCAAGATGACCATGGATGAGAGATGACAAGGGATGATGAAGGAAAATGCAAATGGATTGTTTATGGCAATCACCCAATCCCATCCTCGGTTCATTCGCATCAAGATTTCCCCAGGTAGTGCAGGAGCTTTCTGCCAAGGTGTCAGCCCACTCAGGACAAAGAGACGTGGCGCCTATGGATCATTACCTCTAAAAATACGTATAAATACTATGTAATACCGTGTACATTCCATAAATCCCAGCCTTGATGTGAACAGAAGGGCTACATGGGTTTTGACCCATCCCCACTCTTGACGTGGTTGAGGTTAAGACCTGTGTTGGCACAGCTTCATGAGCTTCCCTTGAGACAGGCTCAGTTGAGAGAAGCGCCAGTTGGAATTATGGGCACATTTGGCAACTCACTTCTTGAAAAATGAATAGTTTCAGAACGATCATGAGGATGAGTTTACTTTTAAATATTTTTAAACTAAAGTTTGGCTCAAGAAGCTGTGGCATGCTGTGTCTGTCCTGCAAACAAAGATGTTCCATGGAGCTTCCGAGCGGACGGAACCAGGTGGGAGCTTGCCTCACGGCGCTGGCTCCGCCGGTGAAGCCACCGGATGTGGGGAGATCCAGCGATGCGTGGACAATCTTTGGGGCAATAGGACTCTAATTGTGGGATCACTTTGAGCCATGGCCAAAATTGGATAGATATAGATATAATATGTGTGTGTATATACATATACATATACATATACATATATATATTGTGATGTGGTGTTTAAATCAAAGGATTTGACCAGAAAGGATATTTCTGGGTCTCTTGCGACCACTTGGATGCTTTGCTTCTGAGACATTGACCCCAGCACGTTACCCATGCGCTGTGGCCGGCAAGGTGATGAGCGAACAAGACAGAAGGTTGCTCCACGACGCTGTGTCCAGAGTCTTCACAGGAGACTGAGATGAACTCTGCCGGAGCTGTGTTGATTCAGGTTGCTCATGATGACTATTGTCGATCATCATTACATTTTGATGATGAATCATGATTTCATTGATTTCATTTTGATCTGATTTGATTTGTGTGTCATCTGTGTTTCTTAAAACATCGCGCGCTTCGCGTGAAGGAACGCAGGACTTCTCCAGCGAGGTGCTAGGGTGCGGTCAATTTCTGGTGGATGTTCATCTCCATATTGGACAGATACGGGATATGGAGGTTTCCATAGTGGGGGTAGCCCAATATCTGGATGGTAAATCCGAAAATTGTCATGATAGAATGGATGATAACTGAAACTATTCCAATTTTGGGAAATCTCCATATGTTTCTCCTGGAGCAACCACAATCCTGGCAGGATGTCTTTGTGGAACCTTGGATGCAGGACCTGGGAGATCCTGGGAGCCTTGTCAAATGGCGATTGAAAAATGACGAGAAAGTTGATCAACGGGGTATCCTATTTTCAGACAAAGCCATAGTGGTATTGCTAGAAAGATCTATCTGATTTTTATATATAGATATAGATGTATGCGTTGTTGATGCTTTTACCAGATCCATCATTTGGATCAGCCAGTCACAACTATAAACAGCTCTCAAATGAGACATGTGTTTATATATCAAATCTCAACGGTTCTCTTTTTGTGTCACGTAGAACCACCATTTTGGCAGCTTGAAATCCCAATGTTTCTGCAAAACATGTCAAAAAAACGACAAAACACTACGACAATCATGGATCTCCTTCATTATGTTTGCAGCTAAAAACCCTTTCATGTAGGAAACCCAATCTTTTACCATATGACCCAATATTCCCATACAGACCAGTTTCCATATGACCATCCCCCCATCTGGTACAATGTGGGGCCCCCAAACGTTATAAGTTGGTTTATAACCCCATCTAACTATGGTTATAACTACCATACACCCTAGTTATTGTAGTTATAAACCAACTTAGCTATCGACTGGGGGCCCCACATTGTAGGACTTCTGGACTGCAGAGCTTCGCGAACTGCGTGACGTGGAAGCCCTGGAGTTGACCTGTGGCCTCCGAGAGGTGGAAAACGGGTGGGAAAACGGGTGCCCGGTGCTGGTCAAACATGGCTGGAAAATCCACTATAAACCATGGGAAAACCATGGGAAAACCATGGGAAAACCATGGGAAAACCATGGGAAAACACAATAAACGATGGAAAATCCCTTGGACTAAACGGATATTTTAATGGAAAAAATCATCGAACTACATGGTGATGTTCCAGCAAACCATTGGGAGGTAATTCAGTGAAATGGTGATTTTGATGGGATTTAATGAGCGGAAATTGGGATATGGTGCATTTACCTCTGAAAAAAAAATCCATAGCTGTCCAAAACACGGCGGTTTTATCCATCAATATTTTTGTCCACATGTGAAGCCATAACCAGTCCAGCAGTGGGCTCCGCTGGGAAGTCTCATGTACTGATCATCTTCATCTGCCAAAGCCAATCCTGCTGGGGAACACTAACAACGACATCCATTATTTCAGCACCACGCCCAGATGAGTTTCAAAGTGGCGAAGCCCAACAACTTCCCCAAAACTGATTTTGTTTCAAAGGAGATCATAGGAAGGCTTACCAGGTTTGCTTGTGGTTTTGCTTCCGCCATTGGGCAGGCCGGCATGACGACGAGTTTTCCCATGAACGTCGTCATGGCCTAGCTCCCAGCAGACAACCTGCCACTGACCGGCTAGTTGAGACTGGAAACTCTCAGCATATGATGAAATCATCAAGGGCAGATAGACAGGCTTTTGAACCAGCGAATTTCAGAATGTAGGGTTTGTGGTTCATTGGGTGCAAAATGTTTGCAGTTTCTGCGATCCCAAACGACGCCAGTGGACCATGAGCCACCATGACAAGCCGGAAATATTGGGGCGAATCGGTTGACTGAACCCCTTGCAGTGCTTGCAGGAAGACTTGAACCAACGCTTGAAAAGGACGCCAGGGCCCCAGGGCGCAGATGGCTTATAGAGGTCACCTGGGGAAACTGTCAGGATATCTTTGGATATAGCGAATCGCATCTGTCAAAAAATGTTTTCACAAAAGGACAGTGGAGTGGTTCATGGGGAGTCAACCTGGACTGCAATGGATCCATAGTCAAACTCGGTGCATCCCCGATGGCAAGGGTAATCCCCCGATCTAGTCGTTTATGACAAAGGCTTAATCGAAAGCCAGAATAGGGATTGGATTACCTTCCACCATATGGGTTTGTCCAAAAATGTGGTTTGCCGAAATCGGCTACATGCCCATTCTTTTGGTTACTATGGTTGAAAATCATCAATCACTACTGACTAGGGATGCGGATATCATGGGGATATGATTACCATACTAGTAGTATAACTATCCCTATTCACCGATTTAGTCACGTTATATCCCCATTGTATCCCCACTGAACATAGCGAACGGTAGGATTTTGGAGTACCCACGGTACCCATTGGAGCATGGCACTTCCAGGAAGCAAGAAGTAGAGCTCTCGCATTTCCTGCTGCTACGGATGTGTCGTGTTATGGACCTTTGGCACCTTGGCTGGAAGGGATGGTGTGGAAACATGAGGGGATATCTCCAGATCCAAGATTCTTTCAGGGAAACGATTGGGTATGTCCATTTTGGCGGGATGATTTTGATAGTTCATGATAGTTCCCATTTTTGTATGAGTTATTCCCCATTTTGGGGTAGTGTTCCACTTTTTTGTGTGTTTGAGATGCTCCAAAGGATGTTATTCAATTGTTATTCCCATCTTCAGTTAGAGGTTTATAATGGTTTATATAGATTCGTGAGAAGTTCACAATGTCCTATGTTTAGTGATTTCCCCTGGTTTCCACCATTTGGTGCTCCATTTTTTCGATCCCATGGCTCGAAACAATAATCAAACACGGGCTTCGTTTCCTATTCTGTTTGCCACATTACTAAAAATTGCTTTAAATTCTGGGACCCACAGTGTAGGTGCCAACAAAAGACAATTCTGAGGCATCTTGGAAACATCCCACCCTGTAGGTTGCTAATATACAGGACTGCAAAGGTAGGCTGCTTGCCTAGCCCAGCCTGTCTGTTTATATTATATGCGTTCCCATGACTTGTTGGGTGTTGATTGTACTAGTAGTACGCATTTGCAATTTTGCGTGGTACTGTTTTTTCCAAAAAAAAACATAGATTCCATGTTCCATGTGATATCTATCCCAGCTCCAATTGATCCCACCTGACTTGCGCGGCTGAGGCACAGGCTTGGGGCCTCGACAATGGATGGGGAACGAGTTTTTTCACATGCGCGATGGTCAAAATGTGCTTAAACAAATATCAATAGTTTGAGATCTATTGCCATGAATTACCAGGATACAACACACAAAGACGGGAAGATATGATATATCCATCAATAGGGGATCTCACCAGAATTCCGAATACTTGGACAGGTGGATTTGATTGAAACTTTCGGCAAAGGAAAATGGCATGATGTGTGAAACTTTGGCTCGGTGATCGTATCTTGACATCCGGCTGCCTTGGGTGAGGCACGAAGTGGAAGCTGTGCTGCAAAAGCTGCTTTCCAGTCCTGAGGCGCAATGGAGTCGTTTTTTCAGGGTGCTCCAAAGTTCCGATCAATTCATGGTTTTTGTCCTGCTCCGTGAAGCATCATAGTATCCCAGTGACTGATAGTGATAGTTGATAGAACTTGGTATCGGCATCGGCCAGCTGAATTAGGACTCTTAAGACCTATAGCCATGGGAAATTCGCCAATAAATTGGGATTTAAGCCTTATAAGCCTTATAACTTTGGTTGTATATCCCACCAGATCACAGCGATGTGACGTGCCAGGCACTTCGGCCATTGCCCACGACCTACTTTGTGGCGCTGTTGTCGGCCATGACCAGTTTCCCCATCCCCAAGGACGCTTTTCCGAACCAGATGGAGATTGTACCAGTCTTTGGTGATTCTATTGATTTCTATTGGTACTCCATGCTTTGCACCGACATGAATTGGTTGATCTTGCACAATGCGCATCTTCAACACCAGATTTTTCACCGACTATATAACTCATATGACTAGCTATGTATAAGTATGTAACTGTAGAGCTATAAACCATAAATTTTGGTCTATAACTATTCTACCACCATTTTTTGGTGGTCAAGTTTCCGCCTTCACGGAGGACCTGCCTTTGCGTCTCGTGGCATCCTTCCTGGACCGTTGCGAATTGGGTGAGGCCACAGCGCAGCAGGGGGTCCCAGCTTTCACCATTGGAGACAAGGTATGGCTGATAAGTTTTTTGAGAAATTCATAGATATTCTATTGATATTCTATTGATTTTCTATTGATTTTCTATTGATATTCTATTGATTTTCATAGCCTTTGATGGTTGATGAGTTTTTTTAAGACAAAGATGATGTGTTATGCCGATTGTCGAAAGTCCTTTTGGATATTTTCGAGTGGATAGATTCTGATGTGTACCTTCTGGCACAGAAACACCGTGGAAAATTCCGTTCCGCTGTGTCTGAGGCCGGACCAGTGGGCTGAAATGCTTTGTGCGGCAAGACCCTTAGATGAGGCGTGCGCTTGACGTCCAACTGGCCCAATGCAGTAGGCAAGAATCATTTGTCAAATGGAAATGGGGAACATCATTGAGATAGTTATATAATGTTATATACATTCAAAATGATGCAAACCTAGAGATTCACAGATTCATCATCCTTTTCGCCCTGCTTCCTGTGTGATTCACTGGGCTTGCGGTCAGCCCTTCTTCGAGCGCATCACTCCGCGCTTGTTGCAGCAACTTCTCCCACACCTACAAGGCAAGGACAAGCAGAAAGGCAAAGGCAGAAGCATGTTTCAAAGCCATGGGGGATGAATATTGATATCAATATTATATTGATAGCTATTGAAAACCATTGTGAATCCATATGATATTGATATCTCTTCATGTTTATTGGTTTGTTCATAAGGATTATCATTGCCCATTGCAAAGGTTCCCTTCTCAGATGGGAATGTCGTTGTAATTTTCTCCCAGAATTGTTTGAAGGGAAAATGTGCAGGGAAAACCTATAGTTGGGGTGTGCCATGGTTTACTCCAAAATGGTCCCAATATTATCACTCCATTGGAACCTCAGAACTGAGGCTTGTCCCACGACCGTTTGCTGAAAGTCCTGGACTCCTTGGCCAAAGCACCGCCGAAGGCGATGGAAGATGGAAATCCATTGGAAATCTCGAAATTCATTGGTTGTATTTTTTTTGAACCCAGGTTCAAGGCAAATCTTACATCAGAAATGCTGGTCTTGAAATCAACTGATTGCTTTCTCCAGGAGAGTCCTGGGACGTCCTTTGTGCGGATGCCTTGAATGTTTTGAGCTGGTGGCAGTACGCAGAAAATCCAATGAGCAAAGCCATAAACACCATCTATAGCCAGAATCTATCGTTGCTTTTCCAGTGTAAAACTCCATCAAAACCCAGCGTAACAACCCAATATCCCAATATCATCTTGTTGGTTTTTTCAGATAATCCCATCATGTCCCATCCATATCCAAAGTTTCATGGGTAAAACCTCCATCGTATCCCCTTTCCCCAGTCCAGCAGTCCAGCAGTCCCATGACCGAGGCCAGCAGTCCGGTGGAACAAGCGCCCTTCGCCTTCAACGAGGTGGTTGCGGAGGTCGTGGCGTCCGGCAAATGGGATCTGCAAAAGGCGGGGAACGAAGATTTGTTGTGAAACCTGGATTGAAAGTTCAGGAATCCCAAGGTTTTTGGATGGTTGATATTATATCTGCCTATGATGGATATGATGGATTGATATGGATTGGTTGATACGAAAGAAGACTTGACCCACACCCAGATGGACATTGCTTGAAACTGAAGAGAGTCAATAATTAGTGAACAACTGTTGAAAACTGAAGGGCTTCAATGATTGGGCTATAGCGGCTAATGATTAACCACTTTACAGGGGAGGGGTATTTGTTTGTGTTTTTTGCCTTTTTTTTGCATGTTTTTTTTGGCTGGTGTTTGGCTTCTGGCTGCATTTTTCTATGCGTTTGCCGTTTGCCTCGAAATTGCGGACTCCACTGGCTTTAAACCATCAAGACACCTGCAAACTGCGCTGGGTCTCGCAACTACCAGCTGGAGGGGAAGACACAAGATGAGAATCCAAGTCCACAGTTCCCTGGGTTGGTGGCAAGAATTGCAGGAAGCATCAGGAATCCATGTGTTTCGCAAAGTTTCATTCATCCTATGAGAATTTCTTCAGCAAGGCTCTTCAGCATTTGGCCAGGTGATGGCAGCCTTCTCTTGCCTCGGTCGCCTGGGTTGGTACAACGAGCACACTGTGGCCGAAGTGTTCCTTCGACGACCGAAGCCAGAGTGGAAGTTGTTCAATTGAAACCCAGGCATATTAGACATATTAGACATATCTCAGACAGAATTGCTGATTGAATCTGATAGATGTTGTTAGATGTTGTTGATAAGTACAATCGTGGTATTTTTATCGCACTGGCATTGGCAAAGATTTGGACCACAATTGGCTGTCTAAGGTTGCGCTTTGTTGTCCTCTTCTCAGTTGATGTTTGTGCCGAGCAGCACCTAGCCATCCTTTGTCGGACCATCGGTCATATTCGTTGCTCACCCGTTCAACGAACGTGGTGTGGAAATTCAGGTTGGTTCCGATGCATGTCCCCTCCAAAAGCATCCAAAATCCAATCGGTTATCATGGTTGATCATCATGTTCCCAATAGCTTAGCATGTATGGCTGCATTTTGTTGGTAAATTGATAACATCACCCATTTTTTCGGATAAGTTGTGTCCATGTTTTTCTTCAAAGTTCCCAAGTCCGGCCCGAGATGGATGCGCCCTTCTTAGAGCCCCATGCGCAGTTGCTCTTGCCGTTGGCAGGAGCCTCAAACTGGGAAGATTTCCATATCCGCAGTGGGATATACTGGGGATATAGTGGGATGATCAATTCTTGGGATATAATATATATAATTTAATATATATATATATAAATATATTTATATTTATATATATATATTTATATATACATATTATATATATAATACGAGATATAATATATGCGTATATCCCAAAAAAAATGGATGTATCCCGCTAATAGCCATTTCAATGTAGAGAATGATGATAAACCAAAAGAAAAAAGGTGTCGATCCTAGGAAGATTGGTGCCGAGGTCCAAGCGTGCAGCAACCTCCATGTACATCATGCGCCACTCCTACAAAAGGCACCTCTCGATGTTTGTGGTATAAAAATGTATAAAATATCAGAATTTAGATGTGTTGAATATCAATAATAATTGTAATATATTGTAATAGTGTCACAGTGTCGCCATTCTCCGGTCAGCTTTTCATGGACAGCTTGGGATCCGGAGCTGTGCTACTGTTCCTGCAGCAGCCTGGCTCAAGCGGGTCGACGAGTCGATGTATTCTCTGATAGCAAGCTCTTTTTTGCGATGACCAGCTGCGTTCTCCTTGAGCAGATCTTAGACTCTTACAGCTCTCACAGCTCTCACAGCTCCCGAACCCTGCTTTTTTTTGCAGATGGAATCGCTTCCAGAATCGGCTGAAACATCATTCTTGCATCCAAAGACTCCCTCTCTAAACCAGCCAGTTACAAACAAGAATATATCACAATTGTTCTATCCTTTCGGTATCCACTCGGTATCCACTCATTGTTCTGCTCTGTTCTGTCCTATCACGTCACGTCCATGCGGCAAGTGTGAGCCATTCACCGATGTGGCGCAGAGGCTGGGTGCCCTGGATTTCGACGTGCCGCTAGTAAGTACTGAATCACCCGTATAATGTCAATTATATATATATAGATATACAAATATAGATACATGGTAGATAAGATAGACTAGAATAGAATTCGAATTAGAATAGATATGTTTAAGTGGTGTTTTTATCCCGCTTACCACCTTCTTATAGCCATAGTGAGCCACATACCATCGAAACAATTCACCTCCAGCAGGTCGCTATGACCACCCCAGAGGCGCCGGCAATATCTCACGTTTCATTGGTGGATTGACGGTTTTGTAGTCCTGGTAGTCCTGGTAGCCCTGGTAGTCACCAAAAATATGGCACTAATATGGCACTAATCATTTGGCCAACCATCTGATCCTAAAATTACCAGTGCCATTTTTGCTGGGTTTTGGACTTGTTTTGGTATGCCAGGATCAGGAGCAAAGTCTTCCTCCAGTGCAGGCTGTTGCTGTCCTGTCAATGTCTTCGTTGGGTACGACTCAGGATTCTTTTTGTTGACTCATGGTTTTTACCCAAGAAGTTTTGGTAAACATCACTAGCTGTTTGGTTTCGGTGTTCTTTGGGTTTGCCGTGCACCATTTGGCGCGTCAAGGTGGTGGTCCGCGTGCGCCCGTGCTTCGACGACGAAACCAGTTGTCTCAGCTGTGGCAGCGGCCTGGTGCGGCTCAATGGAGAGGGCGAGGAGTTGAAGGACTGGTTGTGACTTGTGGATTCACTAATATCATTAACATTCATTAACCAATAGTGGATGAATCAACTTTTTCCCGAATGCGTAGCAAGGGTTCCCGTTTCACTCTGGGGGTCTGGGGGTTGAGGGTGTGTTCGCTCGACGTTGCGTTCGCGAGCGCAACCGTTCGCAACCGTTCGCAACCGTTCGCGTGAGGACCGTATGGCCGTGCCTATGGGAAGTTTTACAGAGGTGGTCCTTTTTGGAGGTTTCAGACGTCTGGCTGCTTCGTTTCGCGTGGCAGGTGTGGCACTTCGTGACATTCAGACGTGTTCTGCAACGTGTCGCAAGTCGTTTTGCGTGGCAGGCGCAATACTTTTGCGACGTTTTCAGAAGATGTGTTGCAGTTTTCGTGGCAGGCGCAGCACTTTGGACGCGTCCATCGTCATTTTTCGTGGCAGGCGCAGCACTTTAGACGCGTCCTGTGGCGTGTTTTTTGTAAATCGCATTGGCAGGGCTGCGTCAAGTGGTGACAAGGTGCAAATTCCGTGGCACGCGTGGCATTTTCTGACATGTGCTGAAAATTGACGGAAGCCTCGCACGAAACATCGATTTTGAGGTTGCAAATTTTCAGGTTCTAAGGAAAACTCGTAGGAAAACGTCGATTTTGAAGCTACAAAGTGTGAAAATTGGAGGACGTCTCGCACGAAATGCTCGTTTTGGTGCTCCCACCTGTCTCGTCTCGCGTGTCTGGTTTTCCCGTGGCCTCGCCGTGTCTATGGGGGAAGCTGCAAAACTTGTCTTTTTATCTTGTCGGCAACTGTGAAAATTGCCGGAAGTCTCGCACAAAATGCTAGTTTTTCTGTATCCACGTGTCTTGTCTTGCGGCGCTTGTGTTTCTGTGGCGTCGCCGTGTCCATGGGGGAAGCTGGAAAACCTCTCCTTTTCGAATGTTTCCAAGCAGGTTGTCATGTTGTTTTGCGTGGCAGACGTGGCACTTTTTGACATTCCAACCTGTTTGATAATGTGTCGCAAATGACACAATTGGAGGAAGTCTCGCACGGAACGCTCTTTTTTCTGCATCCACGTGTCTTGTCTGTGTGTCTCGTTTTCCTGTGGCGTCGTTGTGTCTATGTGGGAAGCGGCAAAACACCTCCTTTTCGAATGTTTCCATGCAGGTTGTCATGTCGTTTTGCATGGCAGGCGTGGCGCTTTCCTCACTCCACTCCACACTTTACACTCCTCACTTTACACTCCACACTCCACACTCTACACACCACACTCTACACTTTCCATTCCAGACTCCACACTCTACACTTTACGCTCCACACATCTCCACACTCCACACTTTACACTCCCCACTCCGCACTCCACACTTTACACTCCACACTCCACACTTTACACTCCTCACCCCACACCCCACACTTTACACTCCTCACTCCTCACTCCACACTTTACACTCCTCACCCCACACTTTCCACTCAACACTCCACACTCCACACTTTACACTCCACACTCCACACTTTACACTCCTCACTCCACACTTTACACTCCTCACTCCTCACTCCACACTTTACACTCCACACTCTACACTTTACACTCCACACTCCACACTCTACACTCCACACTTTACACTCCACACTCCACACTCTACACACCACACTCTACACTTTCCACTCATCACTCCACACTTTACACCCCTCACTACATTCCACACTCCTCACTCCACACTTTACACTCCTCACTTTACACTCCACACTCCACACTTTGCACTTTACACTCCTCACTCCACACTCTACACTCTACACTCCACACTCCACACTCTACACTCCACACTCTACACTTTACACTCCATACTCCACACTCTACACTTTACACTCCACACTCCACACTTTGCACTTTACACTCCTCACTCCACACTCTACACTCTACACTCCACACTCCACACTCTACACTCCACACTCTACACTTTACACTCCGTACTCCGCGCTCTACACTTTACACTCTGCATTCTACACTTTACACATTCTGCACTCCCCACTCCTCACTTTACACTCCACACTCCTTACTTCACACTCCACACTCCACACTCTACACTTTCCACTCCACACTGCAGACTGGTAACAAGGGAAACATGTACAAGACTGTTCAATTAATCTATTGCAGAAAGGTATTGTGCGTCACTGCATAACCATGTGTTTTGATACTGTACCATTAACATACGTGTGAGCATTCGGGTTCGTGGGCTTCATCTTGTTTTAGTTGATGAATCCAAATTTCATTAATATCACTAACCAACCATAATCAACCATTGGAATGCGGCATGTAGGAGTGATGAAAAGTGATGAAAAGTGATGAAACATATGGAAGATGTTCTAGGATCCGTGATCCGACTGGAAAAATGATGAGGTCCCATCTAAATCATCCAAACCGAGTTGATGTCGTGAAAAGTGCTTAGCCGCAAAAAGTTGCTGGGCATGGCAGGACAGCATTGCAGACCGAGACTGTCGACGAGTTCGTAGGCCCCAAGAGTTTCGATTCAGCCATTGGGCAGCAACAGATGAATTCAGGTCTCCCAGAATTGGTGGGAAATTTGATGATTAAGCCCCTATGTTTAGAGGGAACAAAACAATAGTTTCCCGTAAAATGTTCTCTTTAATCAAGTCATTGATGTAAAAAAATCTCTGTCAACGAGATGCTCATTTGCGTCGCCAAGGTACGGTGTTCGGGCCCAGCAGCAACCAGGAGGAGGTCTTCTCAGATCTGCAGATGGAACAACTCATCTCCAAAGTGGTAGAAGGTTACCACGCCACCGTCTTTGCCTACGGACAAACAGGATGGGAATTTGGCGACAGCCGACCCACTGATGCTGGTCATGTTTGTACTAAAAAACCCTTCAATTTTGGATCCAAATGCCTTGAAAAGGATGATGGAAATGCCGAACATTGATTGTAGCGGCTTGAAGGAGTGAATGATCAGCTTTATGTGGAGGCTTCAAACTGTGATTTCCAGTTGGTACAGGATCTGGAAAAACCTACACCATGGAAGGCTACCAATATCGAGCACAAGCGGACTCACCGCAGGCAGCTGCACAAAGTCCTGTGGCGTGTTTCTTTCTTTTCATCAAAATGACACTATCTCTCAAGTTCTTAAAGTTTTGTTTTTTGGCCACCTGAAACACGAGGAATGCTTGTCCGAATGCAGGTCATATGACTGGAACTTTCTGTTGGCTGCGTGTTTGTTGGAGGTGTGTATTGATGAGACTGCACCCGAGCGCTTGGGTGTGACACTTGCCCGACAGAAGTTTGATTTCTTCGGAGCATGACTGGCGGATGGATGGTGTCTCGTTTTCTGTTCCAAAATTAGTGGTGCAAGTTCTGACCTTCGCAACCAGCAATAGCATTTTTGGCCATGACGGAGAAACTTTGCGTGGTTTTTCATTATCATTGAAAGACTGAATAGAGGAGCGCCGTCGCAGCAGTGTGTAAGTGTAAGGTCTTCCATCTTCAACATGCAGACTTTGCGATTCCTCAATCCCAGTGGATTTGAATGCAATTTCATGGCGGAGTAAGTCTCAGCAGATTGTGTGTGTGTGTGTGTCAGCTTGTGGAGAATGGATTGACACTACACTGAGGATTCCTCGGGCACTCCGTCAGCTGTTTGCAAAGATTGAACACTCGGAGGCAGCTATGGCCACCATTGGCTGTATATTGAAGCAGAGCTTCCATCACAAGGGTGATGTGCTCAATCCACACTGCATACTCCCAGTAACACTGAGCTTGCAGAGTCTTACAGGGTCTTCAGACCCCAAATCTGTAGCAAAAGTAGCACCAAGCGGGTCTGCAGCCAGGAGTCAACAGAGGACAGACCTGACAGCTTCAGCGTCAGGATATCCTTCCTGCAGATCTATCAGGACGCTGCCTGAGCTGCCGAAGTAGTGGCAGTTCCAACGATGTCCTGCCCTCAGGAGAAGATTTACGACCTTTTGAACCCTGCTCCCTTCCTACAAGGCCTGACTCATGCTGGAAGTCCTGATAGATTGGGACCTTTTTTGCGATGCTTCGGAGTAGTCCTCTCGTCGCAAAACCGTCAAAGGTCGCAAAACTCTACCCTTGCAGAAATACTTTGCTAAACCCCCATGAACCCCGATGCCAGTTTCAAGTGGCATTTTTGAATTGCCAGTCAGAAGGAGTCAGACCTCTTTGGCATTTTCGAAAGGTAACCCCACAAGTACAGGTCCTGAAAGGAACAAAACGGAAAAGAAAACCGGGTTGCTTCATTGGATGCTCCTTTTACTGTATGTGCAGGTGTTGGGACTGATGAAGGACTGCGTTTACGCTGGGATGCAGTGAGGGACTGCTTCTTCGTGGAAAATCTGTTTGAGTAACTTGGCTCAGCTTCTCCATCCGGCTTCTGGTGAAAGGGCACTCCCCAAACCACAACACCTTGGAGTTTTGGAATCGGGTAGTAATGGCTTCACCAAACAGCATCGTTTGACGGAGGACCAGGTGGCATGTTCAGGCAGTCAGCTTTGGTTTCAAATATTCAACAACACTTGGAACATTCTTGGAACTACATGGGCTTCAGGTATCAATGTGCTTCAGCAGATGACGCTCTACGCTACTACCATGCTGGAGTTCAACGTCCCTGGCCGGCAAAGTTGCTCTTGTTCTGACCCAGCAGTCCTGCATATTTATGTTTTTGCCCGCGATGTCTTTTTTGTTTAGGGTTCTGGAAATCCTGTTGCTTAGAACCACCTTAACCTGGTCAGATGGAAAGAGTTCAGACTAAGTTCCGATTTCCACATTTCCATACATTTCCACTGCAAGGCCCAAGCCTTTTGCAGCCAACTGCCAGGCAAGCAGATGGCATCCACTGCCATGAACATTGCTTCGTCGCGATCCCACAGCGTCCTCATCCTCTCGTTGCTCCGAAGGTGTCCCGGCCGCAGCCTATCTTTGCTAAGCGTCCCCAATATGCAGCCGAAGCTGAGGTCTCAGCTGCTTGGTGAGGGCGTGGAAGGTGCCTTCAGACACTCACAGGACAAAGAAACAAAAAGAAACAAAAAGAAACAAAAAAACAAAGTTGCAGTTGTGGTTTTGATGGTGGCAATGGTGGGTGACAGAAATGGATGAAGCCAAGGAAGAGTTCACTGTTTGGTCGTCCTGAGTCGCAGTAGGAAGCAAACCCCAATTCAATTCCTGGCAAGAGCCTGCCTCAGCTGTCAGGTGGCATTGCAGAAGTGACGTCGAACCTGACGCTGGTGGATTTGGCAGGTGCAAAATCGTTTGTTCATTTCACTCATGAAATTTTGATACACTTCATCGGCCGGTTGTGGGGCCCATTTGTTTTGATCCAAGCCCTGATGAGTTTGTGACTTGACAAAGCCTTGCAACTCAGTAGTCCACAGGTTCTGAGAAGGCTGCTGCCAATGAAAACAACGCTGAGCGCTTCAAGGACAGAGTGCTTCAGCTGGAAACTGTCGGAAACTGTTGGAGTTGACTGGTTTTAGGCTCCCCCTGATCTGGTCCAAGGGGCTTTGTCATTCAGCTCTGGGCGCTTGCAAGGTTTAGACTCTATACACATATTATCACATATTTGAATCAGATTTAAACATACATTAAACATCACAAAACATATTAGACACCTGTGTTTGACTTTGCTCCAGGAGGCGGTGAACATCAACCAATCCCTCTTTGTTCTGCGCCGAGTCATCACTGCCTTGAGCAGAAATGCCGATGAGCATCTTGGAGGAAAATGGGAAAATGATGGAAAAACCTTCAAAAAATACCACCTGTTGATGTCCTATGGGACTATTGTGGTACCTTATTTTCAGCCCAATGGGCCAAGGTGCAGTCGCGTCAAACCATGGGTTGTAGCGAAGCAGTTATGGTCGTTTCCAAGGCATGTGCCATACCGGGAGTCGAAGCTGCCCCTCAGCAGCAGGGCGGGGCTGGGAAGAACCGAAGACCCGAAGAACCGGGACTTTCCGTGATTTTGCTGTGCTTTTCTTGTGCCGTTTCCATGGGTGAAACATAGCGAAACAAGTTGACATGACGTCACGTGACGGGATTTGTTGGCCACGTTGACTGTGTCAAGGACTTCCCTTCTACAACATGCCATCGGTGGCAAAGGCTTCATGATCATGTTGGCATGCTTGGCCCCTGCTGACAAGTACTATGAGGAGGGATTCCGCACAATCAAACCAGAGAAAAGTCAGAGAGGTGCAGGCAATTTATGCTCAAGTTCGCAGCTTGTGGGAGGATTCGTTCCACTCTTGTGTAGTTGCTTTGTTTTGGTTTGGCATAGTGCACAGTGACCTCTTGCCTCAGCTTCCAGTTCAATGAGATTTCAGTTGAGTTCATGATGCAATTCTGGCTTGGGTTTTCTGAGCTTGAGAATTGAATTGGGATGTCTTTGTGTACAAAATGCTTCATCGATTGTTTGCAACAAGGACAATTTGAGCACGCTGCAATATGCTGCCCAGGCGCATTTGGACAGGTAGTGGATGAATTCTTTGACATTTGTGGTGTATTGGGTGGCTAGCGTGCAGGTACCACGATGTCATCATGAAACGTGATGCTGTTCGGTCTAGCTGATGAGGCCGCGCTGATTCGCGGTGAGCCGGTGATCAATCTCGACCCCAAGGAATTGTTCCGGCCGTGTCGGTGGGCGTCCGCATTTTTCCTGATAGGCTCAGCATTGACCTGCAAAGATTTCTGTGAAGCTTCAATGATGGACTTTGCTCTGTGGATTCTGTGGATTCTGTGCAGTTTCCTTATTGGAAGATTCACGGGGAGTTGCTCAGAATGTTCATTTCTTGGGGACAGGACCGCTTGATCGCAGAGCTGACACAGCAGCTACATGCGGCGCATGACTACATCCTCCAACAGATGGGGCTCAAGGACCTTGGTTTTGCCCGTCACAGGTTCATATGGTCCAAAAGTATGGCAAATATGGCAACAATTATGGGCAAGAGCAATCCAGCTGATGATGTCCAGAACACGAGAATTGTCATGCAATTCTGGGTCAATTTCATTTGAGGATGTTCGACACGTATTCCCATTCGCTACAGCATGTTTTTTCTGTCACTTTCAGCAAAAGGGTCAGTGATATTATGGAAGGGTACTCTGGGGCAGAGTTTGCTGCCTTTCAGCCTGGAATAGATATTGCAATTGCAAGTTATTCTTTTTGTCAGTACAGAGTCGACAGTAAAGCAACCCTACTCCTTGACAACATCGAATTAGATGTTCCATTCATCGATTTCAAGAGCTTCAATAGACGTCAATGTGTGTTTATTTCAACAAGGAGTTGCCAGAAGAGCTCCAGCAGATTCCCAGCACCAAAGTGCCCAGGGGAGAGATGTGTGACGTGTCGAGTTGGTTTATCCATCTAAAGAGTGGGAAAACCATTGAATTATAAAGCTAATTCCTTTACGCAGCATCTTTAGCTTTGTTTTTGATTTCAGACAAAGACCGGACAGACTTTGAACTAGGCCCTACATTGCAGTTTCAAGGGAAATTCTGTCCAACTCTCAACATGCCAGGGCCGCAATGGGCTATCAATTGGTCGTTGTTCTTTCCCTTCCAGGTGCGATGGTTGGACGTGTATTCTTTGAATTGTAAACCTCAAGTTGCAGTTGATTGATCCATGTTTCAACCAATGATTTGCTCAAAAAAGGGGTTTCGATGCAGACCAATATTGCGGGCAGATCTAACACTTCAGGCGCGATCAAGATCGAGGTCAGAAGGTCGGAGCAAGGGACAGTGGGAATTTCCAAAAAGGTTTGGAACATTTTGGAACTATGATGCAGGATGATGCAGGATTTTATTAGAACAGAGATTTGAAACAGCCGCGTGTCTAGAAAAGTGGTTCAGAGATGAAACAACACGATGTAGAGATAGCAAAAGAGCTGAGGAAGCAACGCATTTAGTAATTTAGGGAGTACTAAGGAAAAATGGAAGTAGCACAAGGAATTCAAAAGCTCAGGCAATGCTTGTGCAAGACACATCAGCTGGATGCAAGACTGAAAAGAAGAATCGGAACGAAAAACAACAAAGCCAATCATGTTCGCATACAATCCTTCTTCAGCATGAAGGTGACAGGAGACAACATGGAATTGTTGTCTATGTACTTTTCACACTACTCTCTATTAGGTTTACCAAGCGAGAATGTCACATCCCTCATTGGACCAAATTTGTTTGTCGGTGTTCTGCTATGCGTTTGCCTGTGCAGGAGCGTCGTCGAATTCCAATCCCACGGCCGAGACCAGACAGCACGTCAGAATCACAGAATCGCTCTCTTCGTATTTGAGTTGGTTCTTGGGGTGGAAGACGTGAGAATGGCTTCGTTATTTGCATAGGGTTCCAAGCAGACGTTCATTTTGGACATGTTTTACACCCTCTTAGCAGCTGAAGAAGCCCAAACCTTTTCTTTTTGAGACAAGGCGGGACACCACTCCTGCCGATGCTTTTCAAAAGCCGGGCTCCTGGGTAGCTGCGCCAAAACAGTTTCGGCAGTTTCTTTTGTTGATTTCCACCTCTAAGCCTAGCACTGGTAGCTGCGCATAGTGAGTCCGCAAAGAGCAACAGCCCTGAGCTGGAAGGGTATACACAAAAGGCATATCGCTGGTATATGTTCTGCCAATGATGAAACAAAATCCTCTTATCTCTTATCAACATTTATCAACATTTATCAACATTTTTATCAACTATCTCAGTGAGAAACACAGGTGCCGAGATTTTGTCGACCATGGGCTGTCGTGGCCGTTGGTCCACCAAGGTCGGCCTCGACTTCTGAACTTTGCCAGGAGAGTTGCTGACGTCAAAAAGAAAACAGGTCTAGTTAGCCAGGCAGTTGAGGGAATAGATCTAGTTAGATTAGTTAGATTTAGTTAGTCTAGTTGCATGATTTGTCATATTTGCAATCTTTCATAGCCATGCTAACATTGCTTTCATCACCTCTGCATCAACGGAAGGCTGCTTTTCAGAAACTCGTGCCTTCCTTGAGGAGACATCCCAATCAGCAGATCCCGAGAGACGTCGAAAGCGGCTGCCACGTACATACAGTTGGGATACGAGGTCCGGGCGTTGTTGTTCGGGTCGAGATTTTGATTTAGCCTAGAAGATGCTAGAAGTATCTCTGTTGGCCGTTTCAATCTTTGGATGGGACAAAGGAACTTGCTTTCCAGGTAGTTGGCCATATGTTTTCTAGGTCTAAGTGCTGAATTGCTGCAATTGGGCCCGGTTGCGGCCATGCCGAAAGGGACGGAGTTCGCAAGCAGTTCTGATGCTGCTATCAAAGATTATCAAAGTGCAATCAGGAAGTTAAACCAACAGGGACCTGGTGAACGTTGAACTTTTACCAATGCATTTTTTGCTGAATCTCGATGTGTACATGGCAGAAAGATAGTTGTTTTATGTTGTTTTCAAGTAAGTTTTGTAAGTCCTTCTGCTCGGTGCATTCCCAACCTCAGAGCTGAACCAGCTCAGGAGGGATCCACGTCTGCAGTTGGAAAAACAACTTAAGGAGATCCGCATTGGTCACAGCCACTCAGACCATTTCGCTGTGGAAGTTTAGACAACAGGTGTTGGCTTCAGCAGGTTTCATGCACATCGATTCTGCATTTGCTTTGACACATTTTGACACATCAACCACCTTGTTCCCTCGTTCCCTGCACTTTCGAGGTAGGAAGGAGTCATGCCATGCGATATGCGGTGACTCAACGGATATCAGATGTCAAGAGACAGAGACATCACAGCTCTCCGTTCCAGGAGGCCGAAGCAGAGACTCAACAGCTGGAAGAACAGCTGCAAGAGGCGCTAAGGCGACGTCACTCAGCTGCTGGGCTGCAGATGTGGTGATTTGCTGCTCCTGGCTCTGTGTAAAGCCCCGCAGCCCACTCGATTTGTTGGGATGGTTCCACTTACAGGCTGGAACACAATGCAAATTGTGTGGTGTTGTCGTTCATAATTTACCATCGTCCATTGGTCCATTCAGTTCGACGTCTAGAATGTTCTGATGTTCCTTGATCTCTGCAACACATGCAAGCAGCGATCCACTGCATCATCAATCTCGCTAAATGCATCATACAACTGAACATCATAGCCCATCAGCTTCTGATTTTTTGCAGCACCAAAATGGGGATTGATGGATTTTAATGACAGTGTTCTTGGACTTGTGCTTCTTGTCGCAGACCCAACAGTGGAAGGGTGCGTCCTGGTTGTCGTCACTGTCTCAGTGGTGGATTTGGTGCATGCGCACTGCAAGAAAAACCGAGGCCAAGAGCTTCCGTCTTTGACTGGTCCAATCAGTGGTCTCAGTGGTCTCAGTGGTCTCAGTGGGCTGCAAGCGTGAAAATAGATCAGCCGCAACTTTGTGAATGGGTTTCGGGGCTGCGTTTTTGCATGTTGCCATATCAATTTTCCAGTATACCCTAGTGCTGCAGGTAGTGAATTGGTATTGCTGGTGCTGTGCTTACCTCTGGATGGGACCTCAGCCTCATTGATTGTGTGCCAGTGAAGAAACGGATGACAGTCAGAAAAGATGCGAAATCACATTACGAAACCAAACCGACATCACTGCATGTCAAGCTGACTCAAGCTGCATCTGTGCATCTGTCAGCCTGAACGGAGGAACAAGCCTCTGGGATCAGAGAAACTGGATGAACTGCTGGAACTCGCTGGACCCCCAAGCTGAGACTGAGAGGAGTGAAAGTGAATGTGTCCTTCAGCCAACGAGTTTGATTTCACACTGAAAACCATGCAGCTGGATTATACAGTTATACACCTGTCACGAAGCAGACAAGCTTCCATCAACTGAAGGATTTTCTCCATTGGAGCATGTCCTGATTTGAGGCAGAAGAATGTTTGGAGCTTGCATTCCAATCATTGGAGTTGCAAGGTGTGCAGATGACCAAGCCTCATGTTCACTGAAAGTTTTTCTGTGTTTATTGGGGTGCATGCTCAGCAGTGCCTTTGGGAACGGCAGGGTGAATCGAAAGAATGCCTTAAACTTTATCGTACTCGTCGTGCTCCAGGTGTTCTTGCAGAGAACCTCTCCAATCCGAACGCCTCATCGAGGCGCAAAAGTTTTGTGATTTCCATCTATCGGTGTTGGTAGGCCCAGAAATTGTGACCTGCAATTGGCCTTTGAACCATTGAATCCAAACAGGCAATGACACTAGCAAAGCGTCAGGAGCTGTAAAAAGTACCACAGTACCACACGGTGAAGATGAGGATTCTGGAATGGCAAGCTATGTGGTACGCATGTCACAGTGTGCATATTACATATATGTATTCTTTTCTTATAGCCATTATAGCTGTAGATTCCTCCATGGAGAATGAGAATCTTGCAAGATACTTGCCTGGAATGGCAGGCAGTCTCTGAGACTCCTCTCAGTACTGGCACGCTCTTCACACTTTCCCCCAGAGTTCAAGGCAAGTTGCAGTTTTACAACAGTTGATGCTTCAGCAGGGTTCATTCGGTTAGTTCTATTGGTTCCAGATTCCAGAGTTCCTATTTATGCCCTCTGCAAGGCCACCTGCGCACGCATTTGTTCACAGCGCGGGTCTTTGAAGAGAACTTGTAATCTGAAATGCCAAGTTGGCAGGTGTGTTTTTGGTTGGTTCCCTCGGGTACTATTTTTGGAATGCCTTTGAAACGAAGAAATGGAGACAAGTTGAGACAAGCTATGCCGCGATGCCGCTATGCTGCAACGCCGCTTTGATGGCCATTGAGGACTGCAGACTTGGACCTCATGTCGCTGACAACCGAAGAATTGGTGAATGCGTTGGAACCTTGGCAACCTTGGTCCTCGATGATCCTCGAGATTACAACTTGCAAGATGTTGAGCCGCATGTTTCCCATGATTTCTTGTGAAAGGGGCAATTTAGCATCAAAGTTCAACGCGAAAGTACTCTGGCCACAAGTAGATTCAGTAGCTCTTCAATTCTTCGTTGGGAGGTTTGGCACTGACAACTGCTGCTTTCCTTGAAAAAATCCAAAACACATAAGACAAAGATTAGTTTGAATCACTTGTAGTCAAGTACCCACCGCAGAAGGAGATGATGACGGAGGGATCTGAACCGTGTATTCCATCGTAAGTAATGATGTTTTTCGCTGGCCTTGCAAGCGTCACAAATTCTCAGAATTTGAATGTGCAGTTTGTGCAGTTTGAAGCCTGCAGGTTCAACATCCATCTTTGTGGTGTGTTTGATGGACCTGCGGCGTTGAAACGCTGGCTCACAGAAGACTCCAGTCATTCAGCCGCAGAAAAATTGAGACGTTGCCGTAACCAATGTGAAAGTCTTGTCTTTTCGTTCGTTTCATCTTAACATCTTGAAAGAGGATCTGTACATCATCTCAATGTGAGAGCGCGAAATTCAAATTGCAATGAAGGCATGAAGCTCTTTTTCCAAGCCAGGGCCTCGTGCAGGTTGCAGTGCAAGCGTCTTGAGGACCCTGATTTGTTCGAATTTGATGTTCGAAAGTGCGTAAGCTGCTTAGGTTCACACTTCGCAGAAGTGGTACCAAAAGCAAGACTACTACAGATCCATGTGTAGCACCAAGAAGATCACCCACTCAGCGACGGGTAAAGCTGTGCAGCTGTGCACAAGACAAGCTGTGAAACCAAACAAGTTCTTTCGTATCAGGCTGTAGAGATTATTCAAATGATTATTCGGGAGGTTCTTCACGGTTCTTCCATTTCTGCATTGTTTCATGGAATTGTCCATCTTTCATCCCAGACATGCCTGTGGCCACGTGGGTTTGCGTGTGCAGACAAGATGAAGCCGCTTTAACTAACTCAGGTTTCGGCAAAGTGATGCATATGCAACCCTCAGGCTTGGAATCTTCAAGGGGATGCTTGCAGATCACATGCGACTTACTTACATTTGACTAGCCAGTGAAGCTGATGATCAGCATTTTTCCTTGTGTCACCAGCCTTCTGTTTTGAGGTTTTTTCGCATGGTGCTTCAACTGTTTCTTTGCTCCTTGCACATCCCACCATAACTCTTGCAATGGTTTTCCAACCCCTACAACTAGCACCCCTTCGCAGCGCCACAGAGGCAAGCAGCAGAGAAGCATGGCCTTGATCTTCGCACCAGTGACCCCGGCGAGGCCACCGTCAGTTGAACCTTCATCGACAAAACAAATGGAAATTGTGAAATCATAGATGCCCCTTTCAGCATGCTGTGTTTGGCATACCTTTTGATGTGCTGATATTAATGTTCATTCTTGATTTCTTTCCAGCAGCGTACTTCTTGTTGGATGCAGATCAACTGCATGAAGCTGGCTCTTTGTCTCGGTGTTTGCTGCGTATCTCGAAGCTAAACCCTACGAAGCAGAAAGTGTAGCAACAACGGCTAATTTCTGGCACATAATTGAATCCAAATAGCCAAATCTCGAAATACTACAATAAACCCACTGGCCATCCCAGCTTTCGTACAGAGGCCAACACCCTCAGGTCTTCATGTTTTTCTCTGCCAAAACTTGCAAAACGAAACTTCGCCCCAGGATGATTTCCCCATTCAAAACAGAAGAGTGTTGCGTGTTCTTAAGACCTCTTTACTCATTTTACTCCTCTTTCACCTTTCGTTTCTTTATGGAACTGAAGTGGAGGGTTGGAAAGGGCCAGCTTCCTGGGCGACAAATGACGTGTCCGCAAAATGTACATCAGACACACGCATTGTCATCATCTGTCATCAAGAACGGCTGTGAAGGTGTACCACTTAGAGCTGGTTTCACGGGATGCAAAGGCGCGATCTGACTCCAGCATGTCCAGATTGTATGAGTGCGATCGAAGCAGTCGAAACACGTGTTTTTCCCGAAGGCGTAGCCTACGTAGCGAAGGGTTCCCGTTTCACTTTGGGGTCCGAGTGGAACAATGTGCATGTTGTGGGCATGTCAAAGGTTAGAAGGCAATGAATATCGCTGTTATTCGGAGACATACAGTATGTCTCACTTTTTGCCTGATTGTAAGACCATGAAATTAGTTTTGCACAGGAGCGGCATTTCAGACATATCGTTTTTGTTAATCATTGTGGATTTGGCAAAGGATCCCAAGATTGCAAAAGAATTCCCTGTCGCAGTGTGTACTGAGAGTTGCACCTACGTGTGGCAGGCACAGTACTTGGAGCGGTTTTGTTGACGCGTGTCTACCCTTCCACAAAAGTGTGTTCGAAGGAGTGTCCCACAAGATAGTATTGCAAAAATGAACCACAAGAACGTCCCACAAAATTGTCTTGCAAGGAGCGTTGCAAACGAATGTCGCACATAAGTGTCCCGCCAAAGTGTCTCGCAAAAGGGTCTTACAAAAGTATCCCACAAGAGTGACCCGCACAAGTCTCCTACAAGAGAGTCTGGTAGGATTGTGTCACAAGGGTGTTGTATTTAGAAAATGTCTGTGAAGGCTTTCGGGTTCAAGGCTACGATCTTGTTTTCTATGGCTATCTTCATTTGGTTCAATTGCATACACCTTTGGCAAGACAAGGCTCTAGGATGCTCTAGGTCTTCTTGTGAACATGCAATGTTGCTTGTTCTTTTAGAGGGATTGGCCAGTTGTGGCCAGTTCATCAACTTGTGCAGAAAACGAAGGACAGATTGTCCATGTTGTCGGAGAAGCCGCCGCTCGCCGTGATTTGCATTTCTTCCAAGGCCGCCTAGGGTCTGGCAGGTCTGCGGGTGGTCAGAGGGCTCCAGCTGCATGACTGGCGCTATTCAGAAAGCTTTCAGATCGCGATTCAAAACATTGCCATGACCCGAGCTTCCAAGCAGTGGACTAGCAAATATATCTTGTGTTTTCTGTTTGCAAAACCCCTTTTGCCGTGTTGCCGGTTTGGCTGACGCCCTTCCATCTACAGGGACACCTGGGCAGCACAGCTTCTGGCTCTTGCTAGCTGCACCCTAACCCAGTTCACAGATAATGTTTCCAGGAGCAACTCCGGTGGTACGTGCCTGTCACGGCTGTGCCAAGCCAGGACAAAGAGTTTGAGCTTGTCTGCTGGCATTGGAACATGGGCCGCAATCAAATCTTGAGGGTCAGAAAACAGTTCCTATGTTTGAAGTTTGTTTAACAGCAAGTTCATGTTGCAAGTGGCAGGAAATCGAGTTGCAAAACCGTTGCCGCCAGTGACATGCTCAGCCAAGGAGGCAATGAAATATTTGAACACGGAAAGATTTTGTATGAACCCCAAAATATTCTTTCAGATCTTTGTTTGATTTGAGCTGCATTTTGTGATTGCGCGGAGAGAAAGGTGTTTGCTTTGTTGCTTTGAGTTGGGCTTCAAAAGAAGAAGTGTTTTTGTGCCACAAACCCATTTGGGGGGCAGAATACTTTAAACCTCAGACATGCTTGATTCTTGACATGCCTGCCGTATTGCGTCGGCAGCGCCCAGGTTTAACTATATGTTTCGTGGAACAGCTTGGGGCCTCACTTGGGGCCTTACAAACTAAGTACATCTTTTCATGACATTCCGTCAATCTGCTCGAAAGCCTTTGAATGCTCCTTTGTACTCGTCCTTCCACTTGATTAAAAAAACTTGTTTGGTGCAGCGCAATCCAAGGTACAAAAGGTGCGGCATGCCCAAACAATGGGCTACCGACCTTGCATCGTTTGGATGTGTTGCACTTGGGCAACTTAACCACTTCTGCACTTGCTTCATGTTCAGCGCGTTCAACTGGCATTTCATTCCCACGAACCAAGGTCCGACTGGAAAAAAATGCAGACTGAGGCGTGACAAATACAACGGTGATCTTTCTTTGAACCCTTCACCAAACGAACATCCCCTGTTCGTGATGGAAAATGAAGGTTGTCATTGCCAGCTTAACTCTCCAGAGCTTCGTAGTTCTTTTTTTCGACAGGAAGAGCGCATGGATTACTTGCAGAAAGCTGCTGCAGACTGCGAGTTTTTCAAGCCTGCAGCAATCCAGGATTTCCGCTGCGTTCTTGTATGGGTTTGCTGCAGGTTTATCACCACTTTCTTTAAGAACTGGATTTTTGTAACTAACCAAACCATCAAGAAAAATATTTTCATATTTCTAGGTGGGAAAGACCAGAAATGTCTGAAATTTGTGAGCAACCTCTTTCAATTGCGAAGGACGATTTGATTTACGATTAAAATATATGAAATAAAATTCATAATTTATTTAAATTAAGTTGGCTTTTGTTTGTTGTATATTTATTCAAATTATATTGCTTAAATCGTATTTAAATCTGAAAAGATTATAAAGAAAATATATTGTTAAAT